ATCAAAATCCATAAAGAAAGAAAGAAGTTATCTCATAGTTGAAAACTGCTGCTCACTCCTATACTTACTGGAGAAACACCTACAAGCTTTTATCTCCCCTCATCTTGAGGAATATACTCTTTCAACTGTCAACTCCAACCAATGTAATAGTCACCGATCTCAGGAATTCAAACAAATTGCAAAGTTCAGTTATTTTTGATTTCTTAATTTTAAAAGATAAATTTAATAAAAATAAATTTATCTATGCTTAAATAAAATAATGAATTGAATTAACTAAAATACAAGATGGATGTTAATGCATTTAAAAGGGATTAAGAATAAATGTTGGCATATTAATTGATTTAAAAATGAGAAAATTCAAAGTTTTAAAAGAAAAAAGTATATTAAATTTATCCATTTTTTTTGAAATCAGATTAACTTCAGTTTAATTTATATTGCAATTTTTAAATTGTCAAGTGCCAAAAGCAAATCTGCACCAAAACTCAAAATTTTGCAGTTGAAAAATGATAATGCAGATTGGAAATTGGAATAGTCAATCTGATTTTGAAGATTTTTACTTCTTAAAGTGAATACTGTATTCTCATTTCTAACCAATCAGCACTGCAACCTTCATTTTTAATTACATTTTAAATGCATTAACATCAATCTTATACTCCAATTAATTTTTTTTTAATCTTAAAATTTGCTAAAAACTATTACATAATTAAAAACTGTATAATTTTGTAATTGTGTATTTTAGTCTGCAAAGAGTTTTACAGATAATAATTCTCTAATTGTAGAATAAAATTACTCATTTATTTAGTTTTATGAAATAAGTTGAAGGAATAAATCGTAATCTACACTCTAGAGCAGGGGTGGCCAACATGAGGCCCGCGGGCCGCATGCGGCCCGTCGGGAGTCATGTTGCGGCCTGCGGAGCTAGGTCAAATGAACATAAATGTTAACTTTATTGTACATATCACCAAATGAACATTAGAAGAGTTAAGAAGGTTTGGAAGAGTTCTATGAAACGTATTTGGACAAGGATAAATATCTTGCGTTTTACAAACATGCTCTGTCAATGGTTTCGCTATTTGGAAACACTTATGCGTGTGAACAACTTTTTAGTCGTATGAAGTACATCAAATCACAAGTGAGAACACGAATTACTGATGTTCATTTGGAAAACTGTTTGCGTGTAGCGACTACATCAGTCCAGATCAATTTTGATGCACTTACTTGTTAGTTCGTAAAACAAAGTCAGATGTCTCACTTTTAAATATTTTTAAATTGTCTAATAAATATGTTTCTCGGTTATTAAATAAATGATTCTCGGTTATGTTTTATTTTCTTCAAAAAAATAAATATACCTATTTTTTGTGTTTTTTTTACATTAAACCAGGCAAGTGTTTGACCACGATCTCACCTGGAAAGCAACGATGCGGTTGAAGCTGTAGCACGCTTGCTTGTTTACTTTAATTTAAAAAAAAATTTGGTGCGTGGCCCGGCAGGAAATATTATTTCTGAAATTTGGCCCGCCTGCTAAAAAGGTTGGCCACCCCTGCTCTAGAGCCTTCATAACACAGTAACTTAAACTTTAATGACTACTAATGTTTTCGACTGCACTGTCAGTCTTCCTCAGGTTTGTAACCAGTGAGAACAAATCTAATGCTACACCGTATCTAACAATCCAAGAAATTTCAAATTCTTTGTTAGATGATAAAGGATAGAGCAACATATCATAGAAATCTTAAATGAAATTTTTTCTTGGAAATAAATGTAAAAGTTCCATCAAATACACTTCAAATAGCATGATGTATTATGATATAAATGGATTATACTAAAAAGTTCCATTTTAACATTAGTATATTTTAGTGATATTTTGTAGCTGAAATAGTTATAAATACATTCATATTAATAAAAAACTAAATTAAAAATAAATATACAATTTATGGGAAGAACTGTAATAAATCAGTCAAAACATAATATCCATATTCAATTTCAAACATTAATAATTTTCTGGAATGTACTAGTTTATTTTCTGGTTATCAAAATGTTTAATGATATAAATAGTATGGCAGTTCATGAAGTCATGTCATTTTTAATCCTAAATTATTAAATAAGCTAATCTTAGATAATGTGATAACCTTATGATGAACTACTGGATTTCAGTGCATTATTAAAAATTAAATGTTTGATGATAACAGGATTTGCAATGCCATTCTGGATATAAACTATTGTCAGACATAGTTTAAGTAAAGAAATAGAAAATAAAGAGATTATTTAAACGATTAAGAAAAAAACAGATTATTTTCAATAAATATATAGTCATATCTAACAGGTCTAATGATCTTGTTCCAAACAGAATCTTATTTGATAAGAAAGACAATAATGATAAAAAATTTCAAGATAGTTACAACATGAATTCAACATAAGATCAGCAATTATTTACTGTTATATCATCACAATGCCGGGCTGCATGCACTCCACCTCAAATCAGTAGTGTCTTGCCTCTGTACATCATACTTTTCCTGTTAGCAATAGTGTCATGTTTGTCATCTATCCAACATCTTTCAGGGGGAGGATGTTTGAATTGAAATAATGTGACTTTCGGTTTTCACTGGAAGTTTGTATATAGTTAATCGGAGCCTCCTGCCCCTAAGCTTTCCATATCTGGTCTCTACTTAAATCTAACTCCATTCTCAAGATTAAGGAAGGAAGAATGGACAGACAGTGGGAGTTTATAGATTTACAATTTTTTCAAATTGCAGCTCAATTGCTGTAAAAAGTATATCATTCTACAGTACAGTACTTCCTTATTGTTGAATAAGAAACTTTACAAAAATATTTTCTGACAAATTATCTGAAATCAAGAATAATAAATTTATCCACTTTCTTTTTGATTTATAAAATTTTATAGAAAATGTGATGACGATAGCTTTATTATACGGAGAAAGAAATTCCACAAGAATTTTGTAAAAACTTTTCAAATTATGCTCAAGTTAAACCAGGGTAATAAAAAATTATATTTCTTAGATCTGTTAAATAATAAAAGAGATGGAAAATTTATAACAGTTACATGAAGGAAGAAAAGATTTTACTACCATATGTAACTACTTTATTGTCATTTGGCCTTCTAGTATGCAAGACAGATTTTATGCTTGATGATTTGGAAACAAATTGGATTATCTGTTAAAATCTATCTCAATTAGAAAAAGATAGAATCAGAGTTAAAATAAATGAGAGTTAATGAAATTATATAAAGCTAGTTGAAATCTTTTAGAAATATCATGAAAAAAGTTTTACCTTATGAAATATTAATAAATACAGTATAATATGGGAATGGTTAAAATATGTATTTGAACTGAGTCAACATTTCTATTGACTTGAGATGTATTCTAGACAGCTCCTTTTCTATGGTCATTCTTGATACTTCTCAATCCTCTTCTAATTTAATCTCATTTTTTGTTATATGGAGGGTTTCAGCATAAGATCCAGGAAAACAACTCTTAAGTACTGGTTTACTGAATTTTTTTTTATATCAAGCATTCTTAAGAATTTTTAGTCTTACAGGTGGACAACTTGGTCTTTGAAATTTTTCCACTATACTAAAAATTATCATATCAGCATTGTTTTATAGCAACATTGATATAACAATTTTATAGGTTTGAGGTTTTATCTATTTCCTTTAGAGAAAAATAGAATGCACAAGATATCAATTTTTGACAAATATCAGAGAGATAATTCTTATGTTGTCATTATTACTGAAAATATTAAACTGATATTTAATATGAATTATTTTAAATATATATATATTAACCATGAAATGATGTGAATATGTCAAATGAATTCAAATTCAAATTTTTATAAGTTTAAAATAAAATTTTCAAAATTAAAGTGTAACTATTTTCTTGTAAAGGTAAAAGTGTTAGAAAAATATAGTTATTTTGAACAGTTATGTGATATTAATTGTTATTGATTGACTATACAGTAAATAATTTTTATTGATCTCAAATTATTTCAGTTAATTCTAATTGATACTTGCAAATACTAAATAATATGGAATGAATTAGATTACTTGAAATATTTCTATAATATTTAAAATTAAATAATTTTAGTAATAAGTTTTTAATTTCAAATGCAGTGTTGATCAGTTCATTCATATCATCATATATCCATGTTTTTTTATTTATTTGAATATGAAAAATAATATCAATTGATAGTTTTATTGGGGTGCATTTCAATATATTATCAAGATTTAACAGAAGTTACAATACATGTTTCATAGTTAAATATTATAGCTTTTGACTTGTTGAAAAACTACAAGTTTGTGTGATAAATTCATGACATTTGACTCAGTATCAATGATATAAAAACTTAAAAAATGTGTAGATAAAAGTATTTTTCCTTTAATACTATGGCTTCATCAGTTAAATATGAAACAAAACCACAACAGAATAGAATATGATTTTTAAATTTAAAATGGTTCTATATTTTAACTTGTGAGGCCATAGTAATAAAGATGAAAGAACTTTTATCTATACATTTTTTAAAGATTTTATATTGTTAACTAAGTGTTTATCCTCAATATTATGTCAGTTTCATGAACTTATTACACTTGTTATATGTCACAGTTCAAAAAATAAAATACAGCAAGAATTATAAATCTCAATTATAAGTATAATATATACCAGTAATCAGTTTTGAAAGTATTATTATAAAAATTTGACATTATTTGGAATAATTAATGTATGCAATGTAGAAAAGTTCTTATTCTTTGTTGGGTACAATACATAAATTATTGTCACATAAATGTTGAATGCCCTGTTAATAAGAAATGTATCTATTACTAATTTTGTATTTTTCTCTCGTCTATTATTTTTCAATAATAAATGGTAAAACAGATTTAATTAGTTTGATCATATATTAAATTTTAAGATTAGGAACAATTAAATGTATTTATTATACTAATAAATTTCTTATAAAAATCCAAATTAAATATTTTTCAATTTTATTTTTAGAAACAAGCTGCACTAATTCAACAGTTGGAAGAGGAACTTCGAATGGCTCATATGCGTAATCCTGATGTTGATGTACAACAACATTTAGAAGCTCTTTACACAGAAAAAGAACATATGACAAAAGAAATTTTTCTTCTCAGGGAAACAATAAAGGTAACAATAATAAATAAACAAAATTGTCATAATAAGGCCAAACAACCACTGGATTACATTGGGCTACTTTTATATTTAATTAATTACTAAATAATTTGGTGGTTGTTTGGCTTTACAAATTTATTGAGTTTTGTGGTTTTTATGTATTGTTATAATAATCATTAAAAATGCAAAATATCTGAATATGCTACTGTATTTGACTTTTATTGATATACATTTCATCTATAATTAGTATATACATATTATCTGAGAACCACATATAATAAGTTAAATGCTGCTATATAGTAGTAATACAATTAAAATGCAAATGCTTCATTCAAAAAATTAATCACCTTAGTACAGAATGATAATATGCTATTTACATTAAGTACATTACATTACATACTATTTAAGTATAGATAATTTTTCAGCTTGTAAAATTTTATTGGTTTTATAAATTCTGAAGTTAACATTTATAATAATAATAATAATTATTATGTATTTTGTATTTTTCTCTCGTCTATTATTTTTCAATAATAAATGGTAAAACAGATTTAATTAGTTTGATCATATATTAAATTTTAAGATTTCATTTATTTATTCAGTTGCTTTATTTATCAAATAATAATAATAATAATAATAATAATTATTATTATTATTATTATTATTATAATTATTTGATAAATAAAGCAGAAATAAAGCAATGCAAAAAATTTTAAGTAGTAATATGAATGGTAAATAGAATTAGAACAGTATAGAAACAATAGACAATTTCCTGATTATTTCTTAAAGCAAATAAATAGCAAGTTAATGCTGTTTATCTGCTGTTTATAAGATTTTTTAAATTTCCTGTAAAGAAAACTCATATGAAGAGTAACTTGCTCCAAATATTTCTCTTTATTTCAGCAGTATATGTAGTCCTTCAGAAAAAATGATAGAAAGATGTTTACTGGCTTCAGTATTTTGTAATTATGTAGGGATCATGTATACTCTTAATATTGTGTTGTTATATTTTTTTCTTTATCATATGAATACAAAATATTGTAAAATTCCTCTTAAAGATAATCATATATTTTGTGCTTTTCTGAATGTTTTTTTAAAAATTAGAACTTAGATGAAATGGACTGTCTAGCTTCACATTTCTTTCATTTCAAGTTTTTCTTTCACTTTCTTGTGCTATAGCCAATTTCTTAACTAAATTCCAAAAATTTCTACTTTTTATTTTACGAATTCTCATTTTTATAAATATTTTAAATATTTTTATAGTTCACTGAATCATTTTGTAAAACTAATTTTTAAATATTTTGCATTATGGTGAAAAGAAATATTCTTTTTTCATGAATTATGAATTTAATATTGTCTTTAGTTAAAAAAGTGTTATTAAATTTGATATTACATTTTTTAATAAATTTATATATTTATTAATTTGGAAAAACATATTACTGAAAAATTTCAGTAATATGTAAAATTTCAGAAAAACATATTACTGAAAAATTTCAGTAATATGTAAAATTTCAGAAAAACATATTACTGAAAAATTTCAGTAATATGTTTTTTCTCAGAAAAACATATTACTGAAAAATTTCAGTAATATGTTTTTCCAAATTAAATTTATTTATGTACTAATTAATTAAACTTTTTTAAATCTTGATTAATTTAACANTTTCAAGATAGTTACAACATGAATTCAACATAAGATCAGCAATTATTTACTGTTATATCATCACAATGCCGGGCTGCATGCACTCCACCTCAAATCAGTAGTGTCTTGCCTCTGTACATCATACTTTTCCTGTTAGCAATAGTGTCATGTTTGTCATCTATCCAACATCTTTCAGGGGGAGGATGTTTGAATTGAAATAATGTGACTTTCGGTTTTCACTGGAAGTTTGTATATAGTTAATCGGAGCCTCCTGCCCCTAAGCTTTCCATATCTGGTCTCTACTTAAATCTAACTCCATTCTCAAGATTAAGGAAGGAAGAATGGACAGACAGTGGGAGTTTATAGATTTACAATTTTTTCAAATTGCAGCTCAATTGCTGTAAAAAGTATATCATTCTACAGTACAGTACTTCCTTATTGTTGAATAAGAAACTTTACAAAAATATTTTCTGACAAATTATCTGAAATCAAGAATAATAAATTTATCCACTTTCTTTTTGATTTATAAAATTTTATAGAAAATGTGATGACGATAGCTTTATTATACGGAGAAAGAAATTCCACAAGAATTTTGTAAAAACTTTTCAAATTATGCTCAAGTTAAACCAGGGTAATAAAAAATTATATTTCTTAGATCTGTTAAATAATAAAAGAGATGGAAAATTTATAACAGTTACATGAAGGAAGAAAAGATTTTACTACCATATGTAACTACTTTATTGTCATTTGGCCTTCTAGTATGCAAGACAGATTTTATGCTTGATGATTTGGAAACAAATTGGATTATCTGTTAAAATCTATCTCAATTAGAAAAAGATAGAATCAGAGTTAAAATAAATGAGAGTTAATGAAATTATATAAAGCTAGTTGAAATCTTTTAGAAATATCATGAAAAAAGTTTTACCTTATGAAATATTAATAAATACAGTATAATATGGGAATGGTTAAAATATGTATTTGAACTGAGTCAACATTTCTATTGACTTGAGATGTATTCTAGACAGCTCCTTTTCTATGGTCATTCTTGATACTTCTCAATCCTCTTCTAATTTAATCTCATTTTTTGTTATATGGAGGGTTTCAGCATAAGATCCAGGAAAACAACTCTTAAGTACTGGTTTACTGAATTTTTTTTTATATCAAGCATTCTTAAGAATTTTTAGTCTTACAGGTGGACAACTTGGTCTTTGAAATTTTTCCACTATACTAAAAATTATCATATCAGCATTGTTTTATAGCAACATTGATATAACAATTTTATAGGTTTGAGGTTTTATCTATTTCCTTTAGAGAAAAATAGAATGCACAAGATATCAATTTTTGACAAATATCAGAGAGATAATTCTTATGTTGTCATTATTACTGAAAATATTAAACTGATATTTAATATGAATTATTTTAAATATATATATATTAACCATGAAATGATGTGAATATGTCAAATGAATTCAAATTCAAATTTTTATAAGTTTAAAATAAAATTTTCAAAATTAAAGTGTAACTATTTTCTTGTAAAGGTAAAAGTGTTAGAAAAATATAGTTATTTTGAACAGTTATGTGATATTAATTGTTATTGATTGACTATACAGTAAATAATTTTTATTGATCTCAAATTATTTCAGTTAATTCTAATTGATACTTGCAAATACTAAATAATATGGAATGAATTAGATTACTTGAAATATTTCTATAATATTTAAAATTAAATAATTTTAGTAATAAGTTTTTAATTTCAAATGCAGTGTTGATCAGTTCATTCATATCATCATATATCCATGTTTTTTTATTTATTTGAATATGAAAAATAATATCAATTGATAGTTTTATTGGGGTGCATTTCAATATATTATCAAGATTTAACAGAAGTTACAATACATGTTTCATAGTTAAATATTATAGCTTTTGACTTGTTGAAAAACTACAAGTTTGTGTGATAAATTCATGACATTTGACTCAGTATCAATGATATAAAAACTTAAAAAATGTGTAGATAAAAGTATTTTTCCTTTAATACTATGGCTTCATCAGTTAAATATGAAACAAAACCACAACAGAATAGAATATGATTTTTAAATTTAAAATGGTTCTATATTTTAACTTGTGAGGCCATAGTAATAAAGATGAAAGAACTTTTATCTATACATTTTTTAAAGATTTTATATTGTTAACTAAGTGTTTATCCTCAATATTATGTCAGTTTCATGAACTTATTACACTTGTTATATGTCACAGTTCAAAAAATAAAATACAGCAAGAATTATAAATCTCAATTATAAGTATAATATATACCAGTAATCAGTTTTGAAAGTATTATTATAAAAATTTGACATTATTTGGAATAATTAATGTATGCAATGTAGAAAAGTTCTTATTCTTTGTTGGGTACAATACATAAATTATTGTCACATAAATGTTGAATGCCCTGTTAATAAGAAATGTATCTATTACTAATTTTGTATTTTTCTCTCGTCTATTATTTTTCAATAATAAATGGTAAAACAGATTTAATTAGTTTGATCATATATTAAATTTTAAGATTAGGAACAATTAAATGTATTTATTATACTAATAAATTTCTTATAAAAATCCAAATTAAATATTTTTCAATTTTATTTTTAGAAACAAGCTGCACTAATTCAACAGTTGGAAGAGGAACTTCGAATGGCTCATATGCGTAATCCTGATGTTGATGTACAACAACATTTAGAAGCTCTTTACACAGAAAAAGAACATATGACAAAAGAAATTTTTCTTCTCAGGGAAACAATAAAGGTAACAATAATAAATAAACAAAATTGTCATAATAAGGCCAAACAACCACTGGATTACATTGGGCTACTTTTATATTTAATTAATTACTAAATAATTTGGTGGTTGTTTGGCTTTACAAATTTATTGAGTTTTGTGGTTTTTATGTATTGTTATAATAATCATTAAAAATGCAAAATATCTGAATATGCTACTGTATTTGACTTTTATTGATATACATTTCATCTATAATTAGTATATACATATTATCTGAGAACCACATATAATAAGTTAAATGCTGCTATATAGTAGTAATACAATTAAAATGCAAATGCTTCATTCAAAAAATTAATCACCTTAGTACAGAATGATAATATGCTATTTACATTAAGTACATTACATTACATACTATTTAAGTATAGATAATTTTTCAGCTTGTAAAATTTTATTGGTTTTATAAATTCTGAAGTTAACATTTATAATAATAATAATAATTATTATGTATTTTGTATTTTTCTCTCGTCTATTATTTTTCAATAATAAATGGTAAAACAGATTTAATTAGTTTGATCATATATTAAATTTTAAGATTTCATTTATTTATTCAGTTGCTTTATTTATCAAATAATAATAATAATAATAATAATAATTATTATTATTATTATTATTATTATAATTATTTGATAAATAAAGCAGAAATAAAGCAATGCAAAAAATTTTAAGTAGTAATATGAATGGTAAATAGAATTAGAACAGTATAGAAACAATAGACAATTTCCTGATTATTTCTTAAAGCAAATAAATAGCAAGTTAATGCTGTTTATCTGCTGTTTATAAGATTTTTTAAATTTCCTGTAAAGAAAACTCATATGAAGAGTAACTTGCTCCAAATATTTCTCTTTATTTCAGCAGTATATGTAGTCCTTCAGAAAAAATGATAGAAAGATGTTTACTGGCTTCAGTATTTTGTAATTATGTAGGGATCATGTATACTCTTAATATTGTGTTGTTATATTTTTTTCTTTATCATATGAATACAAAATATTGTAAAATTCCTCTTAAAGATAATCATATATTTTGTGCTTTTCTGAATGTTTTTTTAAAAATTAGAACTTAGATGAAATGGACTGTCTAGCTTCACATTTCTTTCATTTCAAGTTTTTCTTTCACTTTCTTGTGCTATAGCCAATTTCTTAACTAAATTCCAAAAATTTCTACTTTTTATTTTACGAATTCTCATTTTTATAAATATTTTAAATATTTTTATAGTTCACTGAATCATTTTGTAAAACTAATTTTTAAATATTTTGCATTATGGTGAAAAGAAATATTCTTTTTTCATGAATTATGAATTTAATATTGTCTTTAGTTAAAAAAGTGTTATTAAATTTGATATTACATTTTTTAATAAATTTATATATTTATTAATTTGGAAAAACATATTACTGAAAAATTTCAGTAATATGTAAAATTTCAGAAAAACATATTACTGAAAAATTTCAGTAATATGTTTTTCCAAATTAAATTTATTTATGTACTAATTAATTAAACTTTTTTAAATCTTGATTAATTTAACACATCTTTTCATTTTAAATTATGTAATGAAAGGCAAATGTATATATTACTTCATATTTAATTGTCTAAATTAAAACTATCTCCTTTCTGAATTACTGGAGTTAATCACATGAAACAAAACTTTTAATTAGGCAGTCCTATCAAACAGACCATATTCTTAGCCAGGAGGCTTTGAAAATATATAAAGCCAGCCTGACCAGCAAGTGTGTTAATTTTAAAGACTGCAATACGATATTGAATGCATGGAGGGACCTTTATGAAAAATTAGGGCAAAGTTAGCTTATATTAATTCACTCTGTACATCTTAAAAATGTATAACAGGGTCATACAATTATGAGTTTTAGTAGTTTTATCATTTGAATTTGATTTACATTATGGGTTATTCCAAATTTAAAATTGTTTTTTCGAATAATATCATTCTAATGTTTCAATCTGAAATTTGTTAAAAACCTGATGCAGACCTTGGTGAAGACTGAAAACGTTCTGAGTTTTCGTTAATTTGTTACTGGTAATTAAAGGTTTTGTTTTTTGTAGTTGTCTAAATTTATGTAAGCAAATTTGTTAAGGGTAGATACATAAATAATTATCATTAATATCAATGGTGTAAATTATAGTAATTAACATTAGCTAACAAAGAATTAATAGTGTAAAGTGTAGATAATTTATCATTTAATAGTGTCATAAATAATTCTCATTAATATATTATTGTTAAATGATTTTTATCTTTTATGTTATTGGTAGATCTTAAGTTAGAATCAGACTGTCATTCAAGCTACTAGGAGGGAATGAAACAACCACTAATCAAAGCAAAATGTCATTTGCATTGTACTGTGTGGTACAAATTGAGTTAGAACATGATTGGTTGAAAAGATTTTATTTCCAATTACTAATTTTAAGGAAAAAGTTGATTAGTCAAAAACATTGAAATTCAGCAAAAGTTGAAATATTTTCAATGCCTAATGCAGTGTTTCTCAAACTTTTTTGGCTGGTGGCACACTGAAATTATTAAACAAAATTCACGGCACCCCTATTATTATTATTATCTTTTTCTTTTGTTTTGCTTTTTTACAGTTAGTAAAGATATGAAGGATGAGAAGTCATTGAAAAAAAATAAAAGTTTTTTAAAGTAAGTAAGTTTATTTCCAAACAACACAAAAACATTCAAAACAAAGGTTATTATTATAAAGGTATTTGGTGATAAAATGTGAACTTAATGTGAAGTATGTGCCTGATGGTGTTTGTATATTTCCTTGATATTAGGTTGTGTTTTTGAGAGACATATCCTCATCTAATTTTCAAGTCTTTCTCTCTTCTTTTTTTAATATTTACGAGTGTAGGGAATCCCACTTCACAGAGATACGATGTGGAAAACTGCAATAAAATATTAAGTGCTTTGAATCTTATATTGGGATGTTCTTTTCTAATTGTTATCCAAAATGAATTCAGACTCATTTCTGAATGCTTCAATCTTAACGTAAGATCGTTACGTATATCGATTAATTCTTCGGCTTCTGCAAGACTGAACTTATTTCTGATGTTGTCTCTATAAAAGGATTTCGTATCCAGTCGTACAAANGATATTCTTTCATAATTGTTATCCAAAATGAATTCAGACTCATTTCTGAATGCTTCAATCTTAACGTAAGATCGTTACGTATATCGATTAATTCTTCGGCTTCTGCAAGACTGAACTTATTTCTGATGTTGTCTCTATAAAAGGATTTCGTATCCAGTCGTACAAATCAACTTATATGTCAGGTAAATAATGGTTAATTTTTTCTTCTAATGATGTTAAATGACTGTAAATAAGTTTTTTCAAATTTGTATTGTTACATTTTCCTTTGGCAACTTGAATAAACATTTCTACATTATTTGCATTTACTTTTATCTTCCACATTTTTATTTTATCTTTAAAAGCTTTAATTTTATCTACAGATATTAAAATATTTTCATTTCTACCTTGCACACTTGAGTTTAATTTGTTCAGGTGATCAAATATGTCTGTTAAATAAGCTAGTTTGGAACACCAAGAATCATTTTGTAATAATACACAAAATTCTGGTTTGTTTTCTTGTTGAAAAAATATTAATATTTCTTCTTTAAGCTCAAAAACACGATTAATATGTGACCTTCCAAAAGCCATCTCATTTTGGTATGAAGAAGCGGGTTATTATGATGAGATTGAATCTCTTCATATAGTTTTGCAAATATACGCGATTTTAATGGTCTAGCTTTGTTATAATTAACTATTTTAATGATTTCTTCTAACACTCTTTTGAGTTCAGAGCCTATTGTCTTTGCTACCAATGATTCACGATGAATGAAGCAGTGAGTTGTTACAATGTTTTTGTTTCGCTTTTTAGCGTATGAAACAAATCCTTTTATAGTTCCAATCATTGAAGGGGTGCAAGATTTCCAAGATAGACCATTTGTATTAAAATATGTGTTCATGATATCAAAAACATTCTTTCCCGCCGTAGTTTTTTTGAATTCCTTGCAGCATAAAAATTCTTTCCAAAATTTCATCATGTTCAATAAATTGAGTGAAGGCAAGTAATTGCACTTTACCACCGATATCAGTTGGCTCATCCAACTGCAAACTAAATAATTTTGATTCGATTATTTTATTTATAACTGATTTTTCAATATCACTAATACGTCTACTCATAGTGTCATTTGCCGAAGGAATCATTTTTATTTCTTCTGCTTCAGCACCAAAAATTGTTTTCACAATTGCTGTATAGGCCGGGCGAATCAAAGTTTTGCCAATAGTATGAGGCTTCATTTCTCTCGCGATTATTTCTGCGACTAAATAACTGGCTTCTTGAACATGGTCAGCAATTGTATATTTTTTTTTTACAAAACTTTTACTGTTTGTTTTTCTTGTAATTTTATCAGATCTTTGAAATATTCAAGAGGTTTTTAGACAAGTGATTGTATTTTGTGGAGAAGTGTCGCAATAATTTACTGGGAACCATAGCTTCATTTGATAAAATCAAACCACACACAATACATTTTGGTCTGGAAATTAATTTATCACCACACCAGGTAATTCCCATTTTTAGGTAACTGTCTTGATATAAGCGAGTTTTTACATTCTTTTTTAATGCAACATTTTTACGAGAACTGACTGTTTCTGTTTCTTTTGTTTCAATAGTGCTTGTTTGTTGCTCATTGTTAAAAACAGTCAAATCTTCACTAATAGAGCTTTCAATTTTTGATGATTTACTGGTGCTAATTGATTCCTTAGCTTTTCTACCAGTAACCACTTCTTGATCATTAGAATCTTCACGTTTTCTTTTTTTAATGAAAAAATTATTNAAGCCTCAATGTTTGGTAATGCTCATAAAACTCGATGCAAATTAGGCAATATTGCAGAAAAGTGGTTACAAAATTCATTTAATCGACCATCAATTGCCCAGTCATTGACTTAATCTCACTCTGTCATATCCCTTCATGGAAAGTAGGTAGTCTTTTCGATGACTCTCAGATCTAAGAAGTTGAAATTTTTGGGCAACAATCAGAAATGTTCTCGTGCAGTGAACTTGGGCAGCATATTTATGCCACTTATTTCAGCTACAAGCTGCAATTTTAAGTCAAACTTTTTTTTACTGATTATTATAGGTTACATATTAATCATAATCAATTCATTAAATTATTGAAACTATAAAATAAATAAATATATATATATGCTAGTACTTGCAAGTGAGAATCAATTTGGTCCAACAGGGGACTCTCCTTGGACAGAGAAATCTCCTTGTCCCTTCTATCTCACACCTGCAACTTTGTGTCACACCCTCACATGTGGGATCTGTTGGATACCCACCTGTCTACCCATCTGTTGGATATGCATCCTGTGTTTTCTTGTCTCTTGTGGCATACTTGAGGCACCCGCTTTGAGAACCACTGGCCTAATGTATAGCTGAACAATCACCAAAAGGAAATGACACAGTTTGTAGCTCCTTAATATGTTGATGTATACCAATATGAAGCTAGCTTTATTTAGTTGATTTGATACTGGTTCCTCGTCAATTTAGACCAAGGTTAAGGCATAGCTACAGGCATAGATGTTATTTATTTGTGTTTTTAGTGTAAGTATTTGTATAATATATTATGAACCAAATTCCAGCAAATATCTGTTAGTTTTATGGAAAACAATTGTTTTTAGTAGTCTGAGTCATCATTGTCAGGTTATGTTTGCTTTTTGAATTTAAAACACCTTCTCATATTGAAATTTTTCTTTCTTTCATATTCTTTCTTTCTTTTCAGTAAGCATTTGTATTTAAGAATTTTTCAACTGACAATGCTTGACACCATGTTGCCTGCTGAAATATAAGCAATTTTTTAACTACTTATATTTCAACAACCCTTTTAAGTGCAAAAGTTGTCAAAAAAGCTATTGTTTCTTCTTTTTCTTCATTCCACACTTCAGACACATCTAGAGAAAAACTATTGGCTCTAGAAAGCTCAAATTTTAAACTTAAGCCTCTCTTGTTAGGTGCTCATGAAACTTCCAGGTTAATAGGTCAAAGTTCACAGGGGTTTGCCATAGAGCTATTTTACTTCTATTGTTTAATTTTATGTTTAATAAAGCTAAAACTGTATGGAAACAAATAAATTTATTCAAAATTCAAAAGCTCAAATTTATATGAATTAAAACTTTTTATAACAATTTCACTAAATAGACCATTGAAAGCATTTGGTTGGTGACTGTTACCAAGCATTGACCAAACTGTACCATACATCATCATCATAGGTCTTGATGTAATAATGCAATCATTAATAATAAAACAGATATTTTTGTCTCACTATCAATTAAAATGTAAAAAAAAATTATCACAATTTAGATAACTGTCAAATTTTTTTCTTCAGAGTTTTTCTTTGGTAAAGATAAGCTTGACACTTCAAAGCAGAATATAGAAAACAACAATAAAAAAATCTTACATGTACTGCTTCCAAGCTTATCTTTATCAAAAAAAAAAAAAAAAAAANTCTCCACTATTAAAAATATTTATGAAATCATTATATAAAAAATTTATATTTTAAAAAAATATATAAGGAGGATTCAAAAGTTTAAGTTTTTTCCTTCATGGTGCTGCAGTTCCAACCAAAGAATGTTCTAGACCAGCATTTCTTAAATTTTTTGCTCATGCAACCCAATATATTTTTGTAATGGTTCTGCAATCCAAATGTATGTAATATAAAATTTTTAAAATTCTGGTAAACTGGAATCACTGTATACTATATAACAAAATAAAATTCTGCATTATTGATAACAACTTCTACATGTGAAGTGTAACATTGAATACATTTCTATTAAAAGCAGTTTGCGCCAATTTTGATTTGTAACAAATAACTTATTTCAGTTTCAGTTTTTATTATTGAAATTTAACTAATAAAAAAATGTAAGATTGATGATTGTAAATAAAATATACTGTTTCAAAATTATTCAGGAGTCTATTTTATTTTGAAAAATATTACAAGTTACCTTTTTATTAATTTAATGAACTGTTTTTTAAATTGTACTTTTCAGATTGTAAGATTTTGTCAATTTTAATATGTATATATATATCAAAAAATATATTTTTTAAAAATTATTTATTGATCCACTTGTGCCAAAATTTACTTGTTGTTTATTTTTTATAATTTATTTTTATGTATGATTATAAACTTAAAACATCCACAACCCATAGTTTGAGGAATGCTGTTCTAGACAACTATGCATGCTTAGATTACATGGCCTTGTGTTAGTTCAAAATGATATTGTTATTGTTTAAATGTCAAGTTTAAATTCAATAACAATGATACTAAAGTATTGAATCATATAACCAAACCATTTAAGTTTGACTGTAGAACAGTTATCTGAGGGCTTCTGTAATTTAAATCACTGATCAGTGTATAAATGCACAGAATTACTGCACTAATTTAGACCATATATGTGCTGCCATTAAAGCAAAGTGACTTCGTAAACTGAGTTTTGATGTTGTTTTGTTTCATGATAATGCACGCCATCATGTTATGCACATGCTAGAGAAACTGCATTGTATGCAATGGGAAATACTGGCACATCTTATAGTACAGACTTTTCACCAAGCAACTTTTCTGTGTTTGGACTCATGAAGAAAATAATGAAAGATCAGCTGTTTGGATTGGCTGCTGCAGTTAGAGTTCCTTTTGCAATGGTTTAAATCCCAAGCACAGGAATTTTACCAGAAAGGCATCTTTGATCTTGTCAAGCAGTGGGATAATGCCTGTGGTGTTTTTTATTTTATGTTTTAATTTTCTTCTAATAAAACAATTTGAATTACAAAAATAATAATAAATAATTTTTTAAGTCATTAACTCAGCATAATAAAATTATAAAATTGTTGTGTTTAGGAAATGGAAGTGCGAATGGAAGCTCAAAAACAAACATTAGCTGCAAGAGAAGAAAGTATAAAAAAGTTAATGGAAATGCTTCAGAATAAAGGAATTGGTATGTTCTTATTAAAATTAATTTAACTTTCTGCATTAAAAATGAATAAACCATTGATGTTTTAGGAATATAATAAAATATATAATCAAATTTATCCAGTAGTGCTAATTTACTCCATAAATTTATTAATTAACTTAATTTTAACTGTTTCATATATTTTAGTTCTTATAATTAATGTGCATGTTGTGTTGATGGAGAAAAAATCATAAAAATCATGGAAAGTAATAAAATGTTAACCATAAATAAATGTGTCAAGAAATTGAAATAGCTAAGTAAAATGTATTCTTAACACAGCATGGTTGTAGAGATGACTTTTTTATATTTATTTTCTTTTCTTTTAAATATATTTCTGTAAATAAAAATTGATTTTATAAAACTGAATAGTTTAGTTCAGACAAAACTAAAACAGATTAAACTAAAGTTCAATTTGACAAAATATTACAACAAAAATACGAGGCGTGTTTTTAAAGTAAGTACCGTTTTAATATAACGCTGCTGGAGCGCTGCAGTCGGCACTTAGCGCATGCGCGCTGTGTACCTACATTTGTTGGGAAGCCACACACGTCATTACGGAGCCAGTCGACTGTGTTTATTGTTGTTTGTGTGTTATTGAAATACCGCCGCTCATTGAGAATCCCACCGACTGCAAAGTGCGTGCCGTTATTCGTTTTCTCAGTGCTAAAGGCTCGAAAGCGGCTGAAATTCATCGCCAAATCAGTGAAGTTTATGGTGAAAGCGTTATGAGTGAAGGAATGGTACGAAAATGGGTTAGGGCCTTTAGTAATGGCCGCACAAACATTCACGATGAGGAACGAAGTGGGCGACCTTCAGTCATTATCAACGATTTGATTGAAAAAGTGGACTGTAGAGTGTAAGAGAACAGACGATTCACGATTTCATCTTTATCTAAAGAGTTTCCTGCAGTTTCAAGAAGTGTTCTCTATGAAATTGTGACCGGACGATTAAATTATCGGAAGTTGTGTTCCCGTTGGGTGCCGAAAATGTTGACGGAGGAGCACAAAACCAAACGTTTGGCCAGTGCATTGACTTTTCTTGAGCGCTACAGTGACGAAGGAGATGATTTTTTAAGTCGTATTGTTACAGGCGATGAAACGTGGGTAGCCTACGTTACACCGGAATCAAAGCAACAATCCATGGAATGGCGACATTCATCATCTCCAAGGAAAGTCAAGTTCAAGCAAACAATTTCTGCTCAGAAAATCATGTGCACGGTGTTTTGGGACAGATACGGAGTGTTGCTTGTTGATTTTTTGCCTCATGGTGAAACGATCAATTCAGCTGCATACTGTGAGACTTTAAAAAAACTGCGCCGTGCAGTACAAAACAAAAGACGGGGCTTACTGAGCAAGGGTGTCATTTTGCTCCACGATAATGCTCGTCCACATACGGCAAATCAAACTCAAGACCTAATCACATCATTTGGCTGGGAACAATTAGACCATCCTCCATACAGTCCCGACCTAGCGCCGAGTGACTATCATTTGTTTCTGCATTTGAAGAAGCATCTGGCAGGGCAGCGCCATAACAATCACGACGAAGTCAAAACGACCGTTCTGCAGTGGTTGTCTCATCAGGCGGCAACATTCTTTGAGGATGGAATACAAAAGCTGGTCCCACGATACGATAAGTGTCTCAATATTAATGGGAATTATGTAGAAAAGTAGTGTAAAATATGGGCTTTCACATAAATAAAAATTTTGTTAAAAATGTCTGCTTGTTTTTTTTATATTTCAAAACGGTACTTACTTTAAAAACACGCCTCGTATAATAATAAATGTATAAAAATGTTGCATTATTTAAGCTAAAAACTTTTTTATGATATCTGATTTGAAATGTGTTTGGAATTATGTAAATATATATCACACTAACCTTATAAAGCTTTGCAGAATTTTTAATGTATCACAAACGTTTTCAGTCCACCCTAGGACCTTTCCAATGTGTTCACATTGGAATAGAATGGAATCGTACCAGAAAAAGTTTTTTCTAATAGAACTCCACCTGAAAAAAGTCCTAGGGTGGACTGAAAACATTTGTGAAACATTAAAAATTCTGCAAAGCTTTATAAGGTTAGTGTGATATATATTTGTCAATGCTTTGTTTATGAGATGGATTTTATTGGAATTATGTAAAAACTATAATTATCTTTTAAAGTTGAAAGAAAAGAGAGTACAGTTGTGAGCATTTATTGAAGATATTATTTTATCTGAAAATTTTTATATAAATGCTTTTAGAGTTCTTATTGATTTTAAAATAAATTATACACAAACAACATTAAATAAACCAAAAAACTACAAATTTAAAGCAAGTATATGGTGATCATAAAGTATCCTTATTCAGAGATATATAGAGAGACACATACTGGGTGTAATTGGATCAGACTTTGTAATAATACTATCTAGGACCTGTGGAAGCAATCTATATGAAAAAATTTTAGTTCCAAAACACATTACCAGTGATTGAGTAAAATCATGTGTATGCTTTGAAGATTACTATATGGCTGGTACATGCAAACAGGCATTTATGTGTGCTGGCTTAATGTTTTGGTCTTGTAAAAATTAATTCAAGGAGACTGGGCATGGGAAAAAGCACTTTTATTGCATAAACTTATTGTTAAACCTCAAGCACGTTATGGTACAGTGGTAACATTAGCAGTGCTGTGGAAAATTCCTCAATATGGCCTCCATTATTGTCTTTCAGAACTTGCAAACAGTGAACAGTATGTTCAATTGGAGAATGTAACTGATCTGTAGTGTTATTCACATGCAGTTTTATTATGTTTTACAAAAAAATATATTTCTTGAGACTATACATACAGGATGAGTCAATTTCATTCAGTCCCTTCACACGCTGTTGAGGTAATAACAATTCCATGGTGGAGTCGACCTTTTATTGTAGGCTACTCATCTGCCATCAATGCAAAAAAGTTAAAATAGTCCTCTAGTGGTAGCACAATGATGCCACCGTGGAATTGTTATTACCTCAAGAGCATGTGAAGGGACTGAATGAAATTGACTCATCCTGTATGTATAGTCCCAAGAAATATATTTTTTTGTAAAAGTAAATTCATACCAGCAATTTTTTAAAACAGTTTAATTATGTTTTAAAACAATCGGATTAGGAAGCTCATTCTGATACATAACACTCTTGAGATGATGTTCCCATAACCAGAAATCATAGGGTTTAATATCCTGGGAGTGAAGTATTGGGTAGCACCATATTGACCTCTGGTAGTGAGTTTTGTAACTAAAATTTTTTTCAGAAGGCTTGCTTTTGCATATCCTGGATGGTATTGTTGAGTTTTGTCCAATTACAGTATGTCCATTAGATGTCTCTCTAGACATGTGATAGAAAATGATATTTTAAAATTATAATTATCCTGTATATTTGTTCTTTTCAATATGACTTTTTCAAGCTTTTGTAAATTCTAATAGTGTACAATATTCATATGAATAGAAACATAGATTACTGTAGTAATGTAACACAAATTTTCCTGAGAAATGTAACAGATTAACAAAAATTAAATGATTGAATAAAATAAAATTTAATAAATTCAATTAGATATTAAAAGAGCTTGTGGTTCATAAAGCCTCAATGTTTGGTAATGCTCATAAAACTCAATGCAAATTAGGCAATATTGCAGAAAAGTGGTTACAAAATTCATTTAATCGACCATCAATTGCCCAGTCATTGACTTAATCTCACTCTGTCATATCCCTTCATGGAAAGTAGGTAGTCTTTTCGATGACTCTCAGATCTAAGAAGTTGAAATTTTTGGGCAACAATCAGAAATGTTCTCGTGCAGTGAACTTGGGCAGCATATTTATGCCACTTATTTCAGCTACAAGCTGCAATTTTAAGTCAAACTTTTTTTTACTGATTATTATAGGTTACATATTAATCATAATCAATTCATTAAATTATTGAAACTATAAAATAAATAAATATATATATATATATGTTAGTACTTGCAAGTGAGAATCAATTTGGTCCAACAGGGGACTCTCCTTGGACAGAGAAATCTCCTTGTCCCTTCTATCTCACACCTGCAACTTTGTGTCACACCCTCACATGTGGGATCTGTTGGATACCCACCTGTCTACCCATCTGTTGGATATGCATCCTGTGTTTTCTTGTCTTAGTCTTTAGAATAAAAGGAGTTGCCTCTATTACAAATGTTTAATGTTCATTGTCTCTTTGTCTCTTTAATGAATCCCAAACATCAACAAATATATTATATATTGCTTATTAATTCATTGCCATCAAAAAACATACAATTAATTCTATATTATGCCAGTTTGCGTTGTTACTCTTGAGACAATACAAACTTAGATAGTTTTGTTGTTGTAATTCTTCAAATAAACCACAAAATTCAGGTTAAAAGTTGTTTGTACATAATTTATTTTATTTTACATTTACAGTAATGATGTTTGTACATCCATTTAGAATAAATATGAATAGTTTGTGTGAAAATTTTAAATTATTTAGTAGAGTAAAACATTGATATTTCTGGAGGAAAAAGGATGCACTATTTTTCAGCATAAAGTTAAAAAATGAGTAAGATTTGCATTACAAAGTATTATTTTATAATTCACATTTTTTATTATTCCCTTCTTAGATTGATAAATTGCAGTATGTTATTTTGTAATTTATATCATCATATTTAAACTATTTCATTTTTAAAAAATTTATATAAAATAGATTTTTGTAAATTTGCTGTTTACATAGAAGTTTAAGTATTCAATATAATTTAATTGAACTAAAAAAACAAAGCACTAATTTATATTAAGGCTTTAAGAGCTATAAAACTAAATATGATTTAATTTCCTATTTTAATTTCAAGTTGCTTTCAACAGATATTGAGTTACACATTATTAAATGAAAATTATTCAACTGTAATCACTAGGAAACAAATTAATGGAAGAAGAAAGGAAAGAAGTGGAACGTTTAAAAACTAAACTAATTGAAACAGAAGCCAGAGCTTGCCATCTTGAAAATCTCTTAGAAGTTCGGGATAAAGATGTTGGAAAATTAAAAGAGGTTTGTTAAGAATTCAGTATTATTTGTGAATAATATATTCATGCATATAAAATTCTACATAAAGTATTTATATGTTTGCACATAAACATTTTATATAGAAATTTTATGTAAGAAATTTTAGGAAATAACATAATTTTAATTAAAATTCTTTATGGGTGATAGATGGATGAATTACGTATTGAACTCAATAAGAGAGATCAAGAAATATTAGCCATGGGAGCAAAAATGAAAACATTAGAGGAACAGCACCAAGACTACCAACGGCATATAGCAGTATTAAAAGAATCACTTTGTGCGAAAGAAGAACATTATAATATGCTTCAGGCAGATGTGAGAAATATTATGTAATTTATTTTTATTTAATTTAATTATTTTATTTGTTTTTAGCATAATATAACATATATTTATTATTTAAGTATTCAGTGATATTCAGACTAGTAAATTGTTTTCAGGTTGAAGAATTAAGACAAAGATTAGAAGAAAAGAATAAATTAATAGAAAAGAAAACACAACAAGCTATGACTGCTACTCAAGAACGTAATCGCTTAGCACAGGAAGTTCAAGAATTAAGGGACCATATGGATATTAAAGATAGGAAAATAAATGTTTTACAGAGAAAAGTAAGATGATATTTTAGTAATTATTCATTATACTTAGAAATCATGCATTTATAGTATGTTGCAGTAATGCATTCATATTAGATTATCTCCTTAAGCCTCAGGCAATTTTTGATATTAATGTAATTAAACATAAAAAAGGAAAGAAATGCGTTAATTTTGAAGAAAAAGCTTCAAATTTTATTTTCCTTTGTCTTGCCTCTGTGAAATTTGACACTGATGAGTCATTGTTCATACAGCTGGATGACCTTGAGAACAGCTGGAGTCGGATTTCCCAGGACATTCTCAGAAGTCTTGGGAGGCGATGGGTTTATAGTAGGGTGACTACTAGTTGGCCGTATATTTTTAAATATTTTTAAAAAATTCAAATTTTTATTGTGATTTTCGACCACCCCCAACTTAATTAAACTTATATATAATAAAATCTATTAATTAAAAAAATTAAAAAACTATTGGAGGTCAGTTTTGATATCAGAAAGTAGCTTCAAATAACTTTACCGAAGTAAAATCCGTGCACTACAACTTTAGAACGATTAATTAAATTTGATTAAAAAATCCCATTAAAAAACAATTAAGCGTTAATTGCACATCATTAAAGGTTGATTAAAATCGCAATAAAATTTTTTTGCACGGGTAAAAATTTTTGAAAAAATTTGGAGACAAAAAACATTCCAAAAATTCAAAAAAAAATTTTTCAAAACTCCCCTTAAGGACCGTGTTTTATGTAACGCTATGTAACTTGCCCGAGATATCTCGGGCTTGGGGCTTAAGGGGCACTCCTGGCAAAAAATATGGAATTAGTAGAGCAAGCTTCATATTATGAATTTAGTTATAAAGAAATATCACAAAATTTATACCTACTGTAACTTTTGTAATGAAATAACTATAAACGATATTTTTTAATTGTAAATGATCAGATGAAGTTACTTTCTGCCCTGTGGGCTCTGGGAACTGTTTTTCTAATTCATTATGGGTTCAACCAGGCCCAAAATGGGATGATTGGTTGATAACAGATGAACCCAATATAAGATCATCATGAAAATCCTAGAGTTCCTGACCTGGACAACACTCTCCAGTGTGTTATGCTGACATCTTTATCACAGCCATCTGGCGATAAGCTATTTTTAATTTTTCAGACTGAAAAAGTAAATCTGATTAAAATTAGATGTTAAAACTAAGTTCAATTGCAGTTTTTTAGCTACAGTCTCTATAACTACAAAGCAACATTAACACTCAATGATGTAATGAAATGCTATATCAAGAAAATATTTTTTTTTCTATTTTTTTACTGCAGCACATTTCCAAGGTATGGAGTCAGAGAAAATATGATTGTTTGTTCCAATTTATGGTTCCCCATTGAATGATCTCCATTAGTTCTGTTTTGATTAGTTTGTTGATGACCACTGAATGAGTTTCTGACCAGTGATTCTCCTGATATTTTCATAAATTTACACAATAACACAATAAAGATAACATAATAAAACCCAATTTAAAAAATGTTTCTGATCTGTAAAATGAAAATTCCTTTTACTATGTAATTTCAGAAAGGAAACATGCTTTTTATTATTAAAATATCATAATAACAACTTTTCTTACATTGTGGTAGTTGACCAAATCTCCTTGAAAAATTCAAGATGTTTTCAAAATAGTTCATTGCAGTTAACAGAACTTCCTTTCAGAGAACTTGGTTATGTTGTCAGTAACAAAATACATCTGCCTATAATCTTTCTTGGTAACAAAATTAATTTTTTTTCCTTTCTTTAAAATACAAAATAAAATGGATCTCATTATTTTTCTAAGAATAAAAAATTAAAAGTAATAGAACTAAAAGGAAGACAAGATGATTTTTAAAATTATTAACTATATCCTCTTGTTGGATTACACTCACTGCATGCACCTCACTGCATGCACCTCCTCTTGTCGGATTACACTCACCACATGCATATCCTACAATATACAGGGTATCTCAAGAAAATAGAAAATTTTGGAACAGAATTTTATGGAGGGGGAAAATATTTTTAATACATAATTACAAATTAAAATGGCAGATAGTATATTTCACAAATTTAAAATATTGAAGAAACAAAGTAGTTTCATACTTCCATCTTGTCCAATCACCAGCAAAACAAAAAACTATTTTTTTCTGATGAGTGGACAAGATGGAAGAATGAAGACTACTTTGTTTCTTCAATATTTTAAATTTATTTTCAATACATTTATCATGGTAATTAATAGTATAGAGTATATGACATTGATAAATTACAAACTAATATTTATTTCTTAAAGATGATGACAAATAGATAACTCCCATCTTTGCATAGACATTCCTTCAGTCTCTTAGGGACATTCTACATGGCTCAATTTAATGTTTCAACAGAATGTTGGCAATTTCCTCTTGGATCTTGGTTTTCAACAATACACATTGCTCTTAAGATGACTCCACGTAAAAAAATTACATTGTCAGATCCTGGCATCTTGGATGCTGTGAAATGTCACTATTTCTTGAAATTGCATGGTTACCAAACAGTTGTCATACAGTTTCATTGATATTCATGCAGAGTAAGATGTTGTTTCATCTTGTTGAGATCAGATGTTTTCAATCACATGTGAAAGTTTCTGAAGTTCCTGCACATCAAAGGTTTCCACAATGGCATTATACTAAACAGACATTACAGTGCTCATAAGGCCATTATCATTTTCAAAAATTTAAGGACCTATAATGCCATACAATGATACAGTATACTAAATGGTAATACAATTGGTGCTGGTGTAGCTGAGCAATATAGAAACATCCCAGAAACTGTAACCTTATATACTAACTAGTTTATGCTTACCATACAATTTTCAGCACATTGAATATTCAATCACAAAGTTTTTGGCTTTGTTCAAAGGCCCTCTTCAGATGAAATAACTAGTTATAGTTCTACTGAGCTTCCATGTGTTCTAAGTTATTTGAATATCCTGTTCTAGGCATTCTAAAAATTTTTTGTCTTTCTGTTATTAACTGAATGACTGGAAATTTTTTAGAATGCCTAGAACAGGATATTCAAATAACTTAGAATACAGTAGACCCCCCTATAATTACGGTCCCCATAATTACGATTCCTATAAAACTGCGAAAAAATTGCGANATATAAAATGAAAATGCATGCACTTGAAAGTGAGATGGAAAAATTGCAAGTTAGGTTAGAAAAAGCTGCTGCTGAAAAAGATAGGGTAGAAGTAAAATTAGAGAACTCTCAATCAGAATTAGGGCAAGCCAGAGCAGAACTTGATAAGTTACAAGGAGAAATGACTAAGATTCAAAATGAATGGGAACAAGCTAAATCAGAGACATCATGGTTATCAATGGAAAATGAACGGTTGAGAGATCAAACTGATAGATTAAAATCTGTTCAAGAACGTACTCAAACTTCTTCTGTTGGTAAAAATCCATTATATCAGACAGATGAAACAGATCGAATGCAAGAAAGGTTAGAACGTGTTCAGTCTGATTTGAGACGTGCACAAGCTGAGTTACGTATGAATCAAGCTGAACAGGATCGTGCACGTGGAGAAGTTGAACAATTGCAAGAAAAAGTTGAAAGATCACAAGGTGAAGTTTATAGATTGAAAGCTAAATTAGAAAATGCTCAAATAGAAAAGGAAAGTTTACAAGAAGAATATGATCGTGTTCAAGCAGCTGTAGCCCGTTCCCATTCTGAAAGAGATGCTGCATTAACTGAAGCAGAAAAGTTAAGAAGTGAACTAGAAAGAGTACAAGCAACTTTAAATAAAGCACAAGTTCAGCATGAGAAAACTCAAGCTTCCTTAGATAAAGCACAGCTTGATACAGATCGTATTCAGGAAAAATTGGATAAAGCAAATGCTGAGATACGTAGACTTCAGTCAGAGAGAGAGCGTGCTCAATGTGAAGTTGAGAGTTTACAAATACAGTTAACACAAAATCAAAATCAGTCTCAAAGATTACAAAAAGAAAAAGAAGTTTCACAATTAGATGCTGAAAAAATGAGAGAAAAATTCGAACGAACTCAAACTCAATTGCAAAGAGTTCAAAAGGAAAAGGATGTCCTTCATAATGAAGTAGAAAAACTTCAAGAAAGAGTTGATCTTCTTCAAACTCAGTTCAATAAAGTGCAGAAGGATAAAGAAAATGCTCAGGCTGAATTTGAAGTAGTTAGAGATAGATTAGAAAAAACTCAAAATCAGTTAGAAAAATATCATGTAGATTATGACACTTCTCAAGCAGAATTAAGAGTATTAAGAGAGAAACAAGATAAATTACAACAACAATTACAAAAAGCACAGGAAGATAGAGAGTTATCAAGAGTTGAATATGAAAAACTGCTTGAAAAACTAGAAAGATCTCAGTCTGAATTGTACAAAATTCAGTCTAAATTTGATCAGTCACAAGCAGAAATAGACAAATTAACATTAGAATTGGAAAAATCTCAAGTTATATCGGCCAAAGCAAAAGAGGAACAACGAAAGTCACAGGAAGAGTTTGATGGTCTTAAAGATTTATATGCTAAAACATACTCTCAGCTTTCTAAAACAAAGGAATCTGAGGAAAAATTTAAAGGGGAATTAGATAGATGCCAAATGGAACTTGAAGTTATTCGAGACAGGTATGAAAAATCACAGGTAGAACTAAGAAGAATACAGTCTGAACGTGATAAATTACAAGCAGATGTAGATCATATGTCTATTGAATTGGATAGGATACAAACTCATATTGGTAAAACACAAACTAGCCATGAAAAATCACAAGAAGAAATTGCTAGAATGCAAGTAGAACTTGAGAAAGTTTATGAAAAATTAGATAGATCTCAGGTTGAATTAAGAAGAGCACAGAATGAAAAAGATAGAATTCAGTCTGATAAAGAAAATATTCAAGCAGAATTGGAAAGATATCAAACACAAATGTCAAAGTATCATTCTGTTCAAGAAAAATCACAGGTTGAAATTGAGAGGATTAGAATCGACATGGAAAAAATAAAAGATAGATATGAGAAAGCACAAATAGAAATTGAAAAATCAAATCAACAAAAGGAAATAATGTCAGCTGAAATTCAGAAGCTTCAGAATGATCTTGATAGAATACGAAGTGATAAGGGAGTAACAATACAAGAAAGAGAACGATATGCAAATGAAATAGAAAGACTGCATATTGAAATTGAAAAAGTAAAAGATAAATATGAAACTGCCAAATTAGATCTACAGAGATTGCAAGATTTTAAACAACAACAACAAGCTGATATTGATCAACTTCATAAGAGAATAGATGTAAGTCACACAAAAACAGAAAAATATGTTGAGGATCATCAAAAACAAGAAATTGGTAAAATAATGATTGAATTTGAAAAAGTGAAAGATAGACTTGAAAGAAATCAGATAGAATTACAGAAAACATGTCAAGAAAGAGACTCATTACAAGCAGAATTAAAATCTTTACAATTAGCTTTAAGTAGAACACAGTCACAGTTAGAAAATGCTCAGTATAACAAACAAACAACGCCAACTGATTCTCAGCAAACATCTAATGAAATTACACGTCTGAAACAATTGTTAAGTAAATCTGAAACAGATTTACAAAAAACATTAGCTGATAATAGTCGACTTCAAACAGAAATAAGTAAATTAAAACAAGATTTAGAAGATGCTGATGTTTATATGGGAAGGTTTCAAGAAAATGAAGTAAAATTAAAAAGAAAGCTTGAAAAAATGCAATCTGATTGTAAAAGAATGCATGAACAATTAGAAGTAACTCAAACAGAATTGCATAGAACTGTTGAAGCAAGAGATAAATTGCAGAAAGAAGTACAGAATTATCAAGCTGAACTTGAACATGCAAAATCTGCAGTAGGAAAAACACAACAAGTTCAGCAAGTATCCAAAACAGAATTAGAAAAGTCACAGCAAGAAGTACATAGAATGCAAAGAGAATTACAAAAATTAGAACAACAATTGCAAAAAACTACTTATGAAAATAAAGAACTACATTCTGAACTGGAAAGAGCTGTTGATGCTATTGCTATACTAGAGAAAGAATTAGAAAACTCTCATAATGAATTAATGAAATCTAAAGAGCATAATAAACAGCTTAAAGCTGAGCAAATGAAATTACAGAAAAGTTTCGAAAAGGGAATTCAGAATGATGAATTTAGAGCTGAACTAGAACATCAAAGATCTGAAACAAGAAAGATGGCTCAAGAAGCTCAGCAGTTAAGAAAACAATATGAAAGAGCTCAAGAAGAAATAAAAAATTTTTCAGTAGAAAGAGAAAGATTCCAATCTCAACTAGAAAAATTAGTACAAGAATTAGAGAAAAGAGAGGTATGTATTGTAGTAATTACATAATTTTGAAATTTCTTATTTGTGTTACTGGATTTTAAAGGTTTTTAGTGTTTGTCATTACTTCCAGTAAGTGAGTAAGAAGATATCTTTATTTCTTATTTTATTGAAACTATTATTTATTTAGGCTGATCTACAACAATTACATCGACAAGCAAAAAAAGTTCCTCAGGATCAAGATAATGAATTACTAATGATAAAAAAACATTTGGAAGAAAAACAAAAAGCATTAGAAGAAGTAGAAAAAAGCTTGAAAAAAAGAGCAGAAAGGATAGAACAAATGGAAACTCATTTACAACAGGTTTGTTATTTAAAAAAAAAGAAAAAGCATAAGTCTTATATTATTATGATTGTATCAATATTAATGATTAATGATGTAAGATAAATTTTTTAATAAACTAGTTATAGACATCAAACTTTGTGCATGTATGTATTTGCATGCATGCATACATGCTTTAATACAGTTATATTTAAAATTTTTCAGTAAATTGTTTGTTTCTTATGTAATAAATACCATAAGAAACATTCTGTATATTTATACTGTTTAGAAAAATCACTGGAAAATTTCAGATAATTTGTCTTTAAACAAAATATTTTGATTTAAATCAAATATAAAAAAAATATAAAAAATGATCTTATATCTTATTAAATATCTATTAAACATAACAATAAAGTTTAAGTGCTGTTACTATGATTAATGTTTTCAATTTAAACATCTTCATTTTTTCTTTAATCATAAGTTATAAGTTGATTTTTTTTTTGTCAAATAACTTTAATGATTTGACTAATCAAATGTCACAATATAAATAGACTTATATAAATTTGCAATTTTGAAATTGCAATACATTGTATTTTCTCATTTCTTGATTAAATTTTTTTGACAAATATGATTATTACTGTTAAGATAGTGGTAATTTTATTAAAAGTTATTGACCTAATGAGTCAATAACTTTTAATGAATAGCATTTGATATAAACTTAAAAACTGCACTTCTAACAAAATGAAATTTGATGTTTTAAATATAGGGAAGTGGAAGAAATGAAAAGTTTATGAAACAGTTTAATGAATTACAACATAAATATATTGAATTAGAGAAATCAAAGTCAAAAGCAGTTGAAGATGCAAACAGATCTCAGGCAGAATTGGAAAGACTCCTTCAAATTATGACAAGTACAGAAGAAGAGAAATTTGCTTTGAATAACCAAATAAAGGAATTACAGGAGTATGTATTTTTTAAGGATTTATATTTTTTATCATTTGACAGTTTTAAATAATTTTACATATTCATTATTCATAATAATATATTTGCTGTAAAGATAATTTAGTTTTTACTATAACAATGAAATATCCATAAGACAACAACATTAATCTTTCTGTAGATAAAGTTGCATAAGCCATAACAGGGTAAACATGGTGAATTGATGTTGAGCAGCAATTGCTGGTCAACATCCATTCACCATGCTTAGTAATTAGGGCAATGGCACTTGTTGTTTCATACATATATGTGCAGTAATGTAGATGCAGTGTTTTCATGCAGTAGTTGTTTCATGTGAATGGAAACAACTACTTAGTTCTCAGAATTTAAGCAGCTGTTAGCCTCTTGATGAAATGTTCAATTTTTCCATTAAAAACAGTATAAAATATATACAAAAAATTATTTTTTAATATCTTATTTTAATGTCTAGTTTTAATTATTTATAAGTCAAAATAATACTGTTTACTCTTCTAAAAAAGTTAAAAAGTCTGAGATAAAGATTAAAAATTGACAATATGAAATAATGTAGATATTAATATTAATATTTTTAAAAAACAGTTTTATTTATATGTTAAAACATGCATAAATTTTTAATTATTTAGTGCACTAAAGGAAAAAGAAGCACAATTAAATAATTTAAAACGAACGCACCAAGCTGAAAAAGCACATGCTGTTCATTTGATGAAAGAACCACGTAGAGAAGAAGAGCATGCTAAAGACGCTGGCAAATCTCAAGTAAGAATATTAATATATATTAAAAACTATATCATAATATAAAATGAAATGATGAAAACTAACAATACTTTTATCACCAATCATTGTTTTGCTTCAGCAAACTGGGCCTGCCAGCTTCTTTTCTAGTTTCTTCTAAAAATGAGTTTTGCTACCTCTTTTCTTTGGAGTCAGTTTTGGAATGCTATTTGGTTATTGCAATGGACAATTTGTCTTCCGTAATTACCCTTTGGGTAACAAAATACTGATAAAATAATAACACTCTGCCGTAATTTTTTACTCTTCTTTCACATACTCATCATCACATTGGTGCAATTGTCAAATTCAGCATGTTCAATGTTGATTATATCTGTGTTTTTGTGCCTTTTGATATAAATACCTTTTATGAGAGATGACTATATGCATGTTGGCTTATATTAATCTCATTAATTTTATTTATTTTTATATTTTAATTTATAACTATTTGTTCAGTTACTATTATTTTTTATTTTTTTATGTGTCAGTATTATTTTTATTGTTTTTCTTTTGCCCATTATGCACCCACTTCTCCACTTTAGCCTTGTTTCATATACAAGTATGGATGAAAATATACAAGAGAGGATAAAATAATGACTGCCAAGCCTAATATTATTCATGAATGGTGCTATTAATACATGTTGTTTTAGTATTCCTCTCTTTTGAGAAGAGGAATGAAAGTGAAAGGTATAAATGTTTCTGTATTGATTAAATTTTCTTGTTGTTTATACTAACTGTTTTTATTTTTTATTATTATTATTTCAGATGAAGGTGAATGATTTTAAATATTTTAAGATAAATGGAAAAGTACTAAAGAAGGTATTGCATTAGTTAATTATTATTTTGATTAAAATAATTTTAAAGTTGAAGAGTTAATTTATAAGAATATTTAAATATTTTTGTGATGTTGAAATTAACTAAAGATAAAATTAATAATAATTTAAAATTGAATAATATATTTAATATAATTTGCTTACATGAAACTAATTTTAGTTAAAGTGATAATTTTTCAATTAAGTATAGATTAATTTTGAGAAATGCAGAATATTTCATTCAAATTTATACAATTTAGACCTTGAAGCACCAGAAGATTAATGGTTTAGTTATCTAAATTTGTTAACTAAATTAGTTCTTGTTTTGAACTTAATTTTATTTATTGCTTACATCACTAAATGAGATAGTTAAATAAGGGTTAATTTTCATTTTACAGTTATAACAATCTGCTGTGGTTGTAAATTATTATCTTAAGTTGTTTTGAGTCATTTAGTTGAATTTATAATAAAGCTTTTAAGTTTTGATATATACCTCATTAAATGAATGAATAAAAGCTTCAAGTTACTTATTGATGTAAGTTAGTTGTAAAGCTTTTTATATAATCAGCAGAAGTTTAGTCTTATCATAAAACTCAAAATTATAATGCATTAATTAGTCTAAAAAGCAAAAGATGACAAATTATAAAGTATGATATTCTAGTGCAGAAGTCTTCAACCTTCCACAGTCTTTGAAACCCTTCTAGTTTATAATATTCTTCAAGGAATCCTACATTTAGATAACAATTTAAGACAGTGTTTTCAAACTTTGGTTATCTACTCAAGTTCCATCTAAACATTCTTTTACATATCATGAAAAACTGTATGGGTGTAGACTATCCTGGAAAAATCATAGTTGCAGACCAAAACGTTTTTGTTTACTAATTTCTTAGCTGCTATCTTCAGTTCTGACAGTTTATCATAATTAATACAAGACATTTTATTTAGAAGTCAAAACAAAATATTTCTTAACAGATAAAAATAAAGATATTTTGTTTTGACTAAGAACTCTTCTCTTTGCTAATCAGAAACTTCACCAGTATAATAAGCAGGACTGTAGAGTCGGAATCAGGAGGAATTTCTGGCCAGTGGAGTCGGAGTTGGAATTGGAAAAAATGTGTCGACTCTGACTCCAGCACTTCAAATTTAATTTAGTTCTTTATTTAAATGAAAGAAAATTTATTTTATATTTAATAATTTTTTAAAATGTTTTTGTATTTTGTTATAATTCATTTATTTTAAATACAAAATACCACAATTTAATTTATTAAATACGTAGTTTTCTTTGTAGTATTTGTGTTTAGTAGTTAAATTGTTTTGACTTAATTGAATTTGAATATTTTTGAATCATTCTTTATTATCTCTGCTCTAAATGAGTACTCTATTTTTCTGAATGAGCGAGACTAATTGATCAGAGTATATATTTTTCTTTTCTGAACAAGGGGCTATATTGCACACTTTTTAGCTGGACTAACTTTTCTGGAAAGGTGAAACTGAAGTGCAAATGTTGTAGAATAAAGATATGTAGATGTTGAATTTTATCACCTCCCCCTTTCTCCTCTTATTAAATATTTGTTAAAAATTAATTTTTTTATATAAATAAATATTAATGTAAGTTAAATATTAAAAATACTAACTATAAAAGTGTTTGGGTAAATGCCTGGTGCTCCTTTCAGAGTTCAGAGTAGGGTACCCCTCTATGAGTGTCTCTGTCCCCCATAAAATGACTTGGTTTTTAATTTTGCCAGAGTCAGAGTCAGTCTATTAAAATTATCAGGAGTTGGAGTTGAGTGTTTTTTTACCTACTTCGCGGCCCTGATAATAAGTCCTATTAATAAACAAAGTCCAAGTAGACAATGTGTACACAGAAACATCAAATTTTTATTTGTATTTAGTCTTCAATTTATAGTGCATTTAAATTTCAACTTTCAATAAATTATAGACTTCTAAAATTAAATTGGTTCTGGCATTTTCTTGACGAATAACTATTTAATCATTTCTGTATATTTTATGTATTCAAGCAAAATATAAATTTAAGATTAAAATAATTATACTGTATATTATACTGTATACATAAAATTTTTGATTAAAAAGTAATATTTATCAGAGATTTTTAACAATATTTTATTTTTATTCTTTTCAGATTTTGCTGATTATAATTTTTTGAAATTAGTGCACACTATGTTCTAATTATGCATTGAAGAAGTGAATAATTAATGGCAATAACTTTTAGATAAATTAAATAACAAAAGTCTATTATAAACAAAATTTATTTAAATGAGCAATTGACACAGTTTGTGTTTATTTGTTGTTACACTTTAAGATATTTATATTATTTCATAGTTATAAATTATCAAATATAACAGCAAACAACGAAATGCTAAACATTTAATTCATTGAAAACAATCATGTAATGGATATTAAGATATAAGAAGGTTTGACGGAAATTGACAAACCGTATTGTTTATTAAAGTGGAAACCGTGTGAACTTTTTGATAAGCCTTCTTATGAGTTATCACATTGTTTCATACTGTTGTGAACATTTAACATTTTATAACAGTTAATGTTTTAGATATTAATGTATAAAACATTTATTTAATTAAATTTTAAAATTTGTCACTTTAACAAATTCTTATATCAACATCATATGAGAAACTATAATATAAGTTAAAATATTAAAAAAAATATTCATAAAGTCATTTTTCATAATTTATTTGATATATTGATCATGAATATAGTCAGGGATTTATTAAGATTTGAAATAATAATAGAAGCATATTCAATATTGAATATTAAATATTGTATGCTTCTTGAAATATATTGCTGAAGTGTGTGTGTTTTTATTAAAATAGTTGTTTATGACTGTGTGGCCAATGGAGATTACTTTCACTCAACCAAGGAATTAACTGTAACATCATTGGATTTAGTCATGAAATATTATACAATGGAAATTATTATTATTTTCTCATGTCAAAGAATTGATTTTTATGTGAACAAGAATATATTCCAGCCTTCCACAACCTTATTTTGGTGTTCTGGGAAACAAAATTCAGACTTAGAATACTTTTAGTAACATAAGAAAAAAATAATAAAAATAAGATACTGGATAATAAACCAATAATATACAATAATCATCAATGAATTTAAGTGATATTGTTGTACAACATATTATTTTTTAAGGTGTAATATAAGGATTATCATACATAATTATAAACTTATCATACAAATTTAACATAAAATTTATAAATTTTAAACAAACACGAGCTCTTCTTCAAAATGCCTAAAGTTTGATTTATGAGATACATTTGTAATTTATTATTTTTTTTTTCAAAATATGTAAATGATTTAACCAATTGAAAATAACAATTTAGTTTGTAGTTTTTAACAATACTCCTAAGGAAAATGAACCATTTCAGTTATTTCTGTCATTAAAAAATAAGTACAAACTCGAGGAATTTATACATGAGCCTGTTTACAGAATTCTCTTGGATTGATTGAAATATATCCAATAATAAATCCAGTAATAAGGATTATAGATAAATTTCTTTGAAAAACACTCCCCACATTATCACCTTCCATTTTTATAATTCAAGCGTTTTAATCTAAACTATGCAATTATTAATTATATTGTTCTAGGAAAGTATGAATAGGTGACGGAATGAATGTTTGCAATTGTTGGAACTTGTTATTTGGTTTCCAACTATTGAAAGTAATTATTGATATTTGTTTATAGATAGAAAGTATAGATATAAAATTAATAATTATTCCAACAAGTTTTATTGAATCAACATTAATCTTGTTGAAATTTACAAATTCAAATATAATATCATCATCATGTGTTAATATATATGTACCTTGGTTTTAATTAAGGGAATATTTATGCATTTATAAATATCTGTGAAATACATTTACGGATGTGTGCGTACTTGATATGTGTAAAACGACTTTGTTGTTAAATATTGTGAAATTTTGTGATTAATGTAATCGATATGTTGTTATTCAAATGCTTCTATACAATTAATTGTAATTAAAATTGTACAAAAATTCGTTTTTATTTCAGACCACTGTTCTAAATTTTGTACTAATGCGCTGTACAGAATGTGACGTTTTATAATTTAGAGAATACCATTAATTTGTATAGAGAGCACCGTTGTTAATATAACTTACATAGAAGATGGTATAACTATTTGATAATGCTGAACATGCTCAAGTACTAAATTTAGAACAGACTAAGTGTATTTATTTTATTTCTATATTTGTTACTTTGATATTTTGCAATACTATTTGTGTAAGAATTTATATTGTCTGGACAATAGCTAAAATGTTTGGAAACTTTTTGTGCTTCTTGAAAGATGTTTTTAAAAACAATATAATTTTTTGCAAATTTTAGTAAATGATATTGTATATGACAAACATATCAGTGAAAATATAGTTTAAATTAATTGGATATATATAAATATATATACATATATGACAATATTGGAAGATAGTTTGTGTTGTTTTCCGATAAACAATGGTTACTATATCCAGTTGTAATTCAGTATTATCATATATAAAAAAATAAATACACACAAATGCACTTAGATGCAATATACCATCCATCGTATCACAAGTTTTCAAAGAAGAAAACAAGTCAAGAATTATTCTTTTGTTGAAATTAAAATTTTGACGGAAAATTAGAAATAAAATTGGTCTGCAGTTTTAATATCCATATGAATTTTCAAATCGGTGTGTCTTGGATTTATAGATATAATTCTAATTAAAATTTGGAAAATATAAAAATTGTATTATTGGTTTGTCTGTTATTTAGAAAGTTAGAAGACTCCTCAATGGAGTTCTTCATTATTTATTTATTTATTACAAATCTCTTAGTGTATCGTTAATTATAATTTTGCAAAGTATTGATATTACCAGTACTGCATTAATTTTTATGAATTTACTCAGTATAGATTTACAATCATTACAATATGGAAGTAAATGTCTAGATAAAACAGTATTTATTTCAAGACAGTAATGTAAATACAGTATTAAGTTTCTGAAAATTCATAATAATGAAAATAAAATTACAATAAAAAAAATTTCAAGAATTATCCTCTGTGTTGTAATCCAGTATATGTCATTTATGTAACTAATGTCAAAATTATAAAAAGTTATACTCTAGAAATATTTGCTTATTATTTAATATTAATAAAAATGATTTTAATATTAAATAAATATTTCTTTTATATTAATTATTTCATAATTTAACTAAAATATATTTAGAATCGGTCCAGAAATCGCATGAACGATATCATTCGTTTACCGAATACAGTTCCAGTTCAGTAAACTTAGTAAATTGTATCCTGTATCAGGTGATATTTGTATCATTTACTTAATACATTAATTTTGCATTTAAATATTTATTATTTGTATTATAGTGCCATTTAATGACAAAACAAAGATAGTATAAAATGATGTAAAATGTTCCCGTTTACACGTTTTAAAACAATACACAAATTCTTTAAAAACACAACAAAAATGTATTTGAACTTTAATTTCTCCACAATTGAGTGACACACTGGCAATTAATTAATTTAATTTAAACACAACACTGGTTCTTTACCATCCACACAGCTACTCTCTCTGGTCAGCACTGACTCGACACACCAAAGGGAAGCGCACAATTTCTCCCTCTCTAGGCGGGAAAATCTCACCCCACATTCTCAGGGATACTATTACATAAACACACCTGACACTTGTGACAATCCTGTGCACTGTACAGTACATCGAATGCTCGGTAACATAAATGCACCTGACAATTGTAAATCGAACTTAACATCCTCCTGCCTTGAACCTTCCAGGGTTCAATTGGTCCCATACACGTTAAGGAAATCCTTTGAGGAATTCCTGTTAGTGTGTGGGGGAAAACTATACAGTTTCGGCGGCCTGTACAGAGTAGAAACGAAAAACCATTTGATTTCCCTGCGCAGGCCAACCATAACGTGTGTGCCGTCCTGACGTTCAGTTGTGAGGCCTCCGNACGAAGTTTTCACAGAAAAATAAGTTGTTAGAAATCGACCGCTATTTGCTGAGCTGTTCTGCGATGAAAACAAGCTTTAGCAATGGGGATGTCTAATAGTGCACACTTGATAAGTAATCCTACAATTTTTTGTTTATAGCGTAGTTTATACGGATTATTTCCAAAAAAAATATATGTATTTTGGAAATGTTGAGTCGGATTAGTCTATAATCGATTAATTTTATGGAAGAAAACCTTTGAATCAGTCGTAGTCCGTAAACTTGACACGTGTCGGGCTGTGATTGGAACGACTCGTAAGAAATCGGATTCCTAAAAAATGGAACGTATCTATGATCTTATAGGGGGGTCGACTGTATATGGAAGCTCAGTAGAACTATAACTCTTGTAATTTCACCAATTTTCCTTCATTTAGAGGCCTTTGAAGAAGGCCTCTGAATACATTTGTGATTGCATTTGTGATTGCAATACTCAGTTGCTGAAAGTTGTATGGTAAACATAAACTAGTTAGTAGCTGAGCAAGATTTTGCAGGACTAAATAACAAAACATTTTGTTTATTGACAAATCCATTCAGGTGGAAGTGGGCTTCATCCAACACCCACAAGTTGTTAATGAATTCATTATCCTTATTTACCTTTGTTATCACTTATTCATAGAATTCTTGTCACATCGGTTTGAGTTTATGGTTGATCTGTATGGATGGAAATTTAAGTCCGCTGACAGTATTCTTTGATCACTGTAAAAATGCAACATGATGCTGAACTGAACATTACAGGCTTCTTTTGAAAGCAGCTCAAACAGCTTTGATATTGGCATATAAACAGTTTGCACACTACCTGCAGATTTCTTTTTTCAGAGCTGATCTTATTTCTTCAAAATTCCATACCAATGTATTAATGGCATATGCTGACAAAACATAGTCATGATATCCTAAATTGAAATGATGTTGAGTTCTCTAAAGCAGTCTCCACACTGTCATTGTTATTATAAAATGCTTTGACCACAAAAACACAATGCACATCACTTCGCTTCTCCATGATAACTAAATGGCAAGATCTCATAAGCAGGGTTCAGTTCAGTCAGTTCCACTTACCTTGCAGAGCTGTCATCATACTTTCAAAATATCTTGTCTCTGAGATACCATATATGTATGTGTGTTCCTATATTCCTTATATTATCTTTTTTCAAATGTTTGAAAGCAATTTTTGATGAAAATAAATATAAAACATTAATAAGATTAATCAACATTTTGTTTGAATTTAATTGAACTGAAATTAAATTTTTCTAAAGTAATGTGGAAACTGATTAATCTTAGATGAATACATTTATTTAATTTTAATTTTAACTTAAAGCTAGATGTAATCACACATTCAAGCGATATACCTACTAACTTTTTAAATAATTATAGATTGAAAATTTAGAAGATCTACTGAAAGAAAAAGACAATCAAGTTGATATGGCTAGAGCAAGATTGACAGCAATGCAAGCTCATCATTCATCATCTGAAGGAGCTCTTTCAAGTTTGGAAGAAGCAATTAGTGATAAAGAAAAGCAAATTTCTCAGTTACGAGAACAAAGAGATAGAGCTGAACAAGAGAGAAATGAAGAAAGAGAATTACACGAACATGAAATTGCTGAATATAAAATGAAAATGCATGCACTTGAAAGTGAGATGGAAAAATTGCAAGTTAGGTTAGAAAAAGCTGCTGCTGAAAAAGATAGGGTAGAAGTAAAATTAGAGAACTCTCAATCAGAATTAGGGCAAGCCAGAGCAGAACTTGATAAGTTACAAGGAGAAATGACTAAGATTCAAAATGAATGGGAACAAGCTAAATCAGAGACATCATGGTTATCAATGGAAAATGAACGGTTGAGAGATCAAACTGATAGATTAAAATCTGTTCAAGAACGTACTCAAACTTCTTCTGTTGGTAAAAATCCATTATATCAGACAGATGAAACAGATCGAATGCAAGAAAGGTTAGAACGTGTTCAGTCTGATTTGAGACGTGCACAAGCTGAGTTACGTATGAATCAAGCTGAACAGGATCGTGCACGTGGAGAAGTTGAACAATTGCAAGAAAAAGTTGAAAGATCACAAGGTGAAGTTTATAGATTGAAAGCTAAATTAGAAAATGCTCAAATAGAAAAGGAAAGTTTACAAGAAGAATATGATCGTGTTCAAGCAGCTGTAGCCCGTTCCCATTCTGAAAGAGATGCTGCATTAACTGAAGCAGAAAAGTTAAGAAGTGAACTAGAAAGAGTACAAGCAACTTTAAATAAAGCACAAGTTCAGCATGAGAAAACTCAAGCTTCCTTAGATAAAGCACAGCTTGATACAGATCGTATTCAGGAAAAATTGGATAAAGCAAATGCTGAGATACGTAGACTTCAGTCAGAGAGAGAGCGTGCTCAATGTGAAGTTGAGAGTTTACAAATACAGTTAACACAAAATCAAAATCAGTCTCAAAGATTACAAAAAGAAAAAGAAGTTTCACAATTAGATGCTGAAAAAATGAGAGAAAAATTCGAACGAACTCAAACTCAATTGCAAAGAGTTCAAAAGGAAAAGGATGTCCTTCATAATGAAGTAGAAAAACTTCAAGAAAGAGTTGATCTTCTTCAAACTCAGTTCAATAAAGTGCAGAAGGATAAAGAAAATGCTCAGGCTGAATTTGAAGTAGTTAGAGATAGATTAGAAAAAACTCAAAATCAGTTAGAAAAATATCATGTAGATTATGACACTTCTCAAGCAGAATTAAGAGTATTAAGAGAGAAACAAGATAAATTACAACAACAATTACAAAAAGCACAGGAAGATAGAGAGTTATCAAGAGTTGAATATGAAAAACTGCTTGAAAAACTAGAAAGATCTCAGTCTGAATTGTACAAAATTCAGTCTAAATTTGATCAGTCACAAGCAGAAATAGACAAATTAACATTAGAATTGGAAAAATCTCAAGTTATATCGGCCAAAGCAAAAGAGGAACAACGAAAGTCACAGGAAGAGTTTGATGGTCTTAAAGATTTATATGCTAAAACATACTCTCAGCTTTCTAAAACAAAGGAATCTGAGGAAAAATTTAAAGGGGAATTAGATAGATGCCAAATGGAACTTGAAGTTATTCGAGACAGGTATGAAAAATCACAGGTAGAACTAAGAAGAATACAGTCTGAACGTGATAAATTACAAGCAGATGTAGATCATATGTCTATTGAATTGGATAGGATACAAACTCATATTGGTAAAACACAAACTAGCCATGAAAAATCACAAGAAGAAATTGCTAGAATGCAAGTAGAACTTGAGAAAGTTTATGAAAAATTAGATAGATCTCAGGTTGAATTAAGAAGAGCACAGAATGAAAAAGATAGAATTCAGTCTGATAAAGAAAATATTCAAGCAGAATTGGAAAGATATCAAACACAAATGTCAAAGTATCATTCTGTTCAAGAAAAATCACAGGTTGAAATTGAGAGGATTAGAATCGACATGGAAAAAATAAAAGATAGATATGAGAAAGCACAAATAGAAATTGAAAAATCAAATCAACAAAAGGAAATAATGTCAGCTGAAATTCAGAAGCTTCAGAATGATCTTGATAGAATACGAAGTGATAAGGGAGTAACAATACAAGAAAGAGAACGATATGCAAATGAAATAGAAAGACTGCATATTGAAATTGAAAAAGTAAAAGATAAATATGAAACTGCCAAATTAGATCTACAGAGATTGCAAGATTTTAAACAACAACAACAAGCTGATATTGATCAACTTCATAAGAGAATAGATGTAAGTCACACAAAAACAGAAAAATATGTTGAGGATCATCAAAAACAAGAAATTGGTAAAATAATGATTGAATTTGAAAAAGTGAAAGATAGACTTGAAAGAAATCAGATAGAATTACAGAAAACATGTCAAGAAAGAGACTCATTACAAGCAGAATTAAAATCTTTACAATTAGCTTTAAGTAGAACACAGTCACAGTTAGAAAATGCTCAGTATAACAAACAAACAACGCCAACTGATTCTCAGCAAACATCTAATGAAATTACACGTCTGAAACAATTGTTAAGTAAATCTGAAACAGATTTACAAAAAACATTAGCTGATAATAGTCGACTTCAAACAGAAATAAGTAAATTAAAACAAGATTTAGAAGATGCTGATGTTTATATGGGAAGGTTTCAAGAAAATGAAGTAAAATTAAAAAGAAAGCTTGAAAAAATGCAATCTGATTGTAAAAGAATGCATGAACAATTAGAAGTAACTCAAACAGAATTGCATAGAACTGTTGAAGCAAGAGATAAATTGCAGAAAGAAGTACAGAATTATCAAGCTGAACTTGAACATGCAAAATCTGCAGTAGGAAAAACACAACAAGTTCAGCAAGTATCCAAAACAGAATTAGAAAAGTCACAGCAAGAAGTACATAGAATGCAAAGAGAATTACAAAAATTAGAACAACAATTGCAAAAAACTACTTATGAAAATAAAGAACTACATTCTGAACTGGAAAGAGCTGTTGATGCTATTGCTATACTAGAGAAAGAATTAGAAAACTCTCATAATGAATTAATGAAATCTAAAGAGCATAATAAACAGCTTAAAGCTGAGCAAATGAAATTACAGAAAAGTTTCGAAAAGGGAATTCAGAATGATGAATTTAGAGCTGAACTAGAACATCAAAGATCTGAAACAAGAAAGATGGCTCAAGAAGCTCAGCAGTTAAGAAAACAATATGAAAGAGCTCAAGAAGAAATAAAAAATTTTTCAGTAGAAAGAGAAAGATTCCAATCTCAACTAGAAAAATTAGTACAAGAATTAGAGAAAAGAGAGGTATGTATTGTAGTAATTACATAATTTTGAAATTTCTTATTTGTGTTACTGGATTTTAAAGGTTTTTAGTGTTTGTCATTACTTCCAGTAAGTGAGTAAGAAGATATCTTTATTTCTTATTTTATTGAAACTATTATTTATTTAGGCTGATCTACAACAATTACATCGACAAGCAAAAAAAGTTCCTCAGGATCAAGATAATGAATTACTAATGATAAAAAAACATTTGGAAGAAAAACAAAAAGCATTAGAAGAAGTAGAAAAAAGCTTGAAAAAAAGAGCAGAAAGGATAGAACAAATGGAAACTCATTTACAACAGGTTTGTTATTTAAAAAAAAAGAAAAAGCATAAGTCTTATATTATTATGATTGTATCAATATTAATGATTAATGATGTAAGATAAATTTTTTAATAAACTAGTTATAGACATCAAACTTTGTGCATGTATGTATTTGCATGCATGCATACATGCTTTAATACAGTTATATTTAAAATTTTTCAGTAAATTGTTTGTTTCTTATGTAATAAATACCATAAGAAACATTCTGTATATTTATACTGTTTAGAAAAATCACTGGAAAATTTCAGATAATTTGTCTTTAAACAAAATATTTTGATTTAAATCAAATATAAAAAAAATATAAAAAATGATCTTATATCTTATTAAATATCTATTAAACATAACAATAAAGTTTAAGTGCTGTTACTATGATTAATGTTTTCAATTTAAACATCTTCATTTTTTCTTTAATCATAAGTTATAAGTTGATTTTTTTTTTGTCAAATAACTTTAATGATTTGACTAATCAAATGTCACAATATAAATAGACTTATATAAATTTGCAATTTTGAAATTGCAATACATTGTATTTTCTCATTTCTTGATTAAATTTTTTTGACAAATATGATTATTACTGTTAAGATAGTGGTAATTTTATTAAAAGTTATTGACCTAATGAGTCAATAACTTTTAATGAATAGCATTTGATATAAACTTAAAAACTGCACTTCTAACAAAATGAAATTTGATGTTTTAAATATAGGGAGGTGGAAGAAATGAAAAGTTTATGAAACAGTTTAATGAATTACAACATAAATATATTGAATTAGAGAAATCAAAGTCAAAAGCAGTTGAAGATGCAAACAGATCTCAGGCAGAATTGGAAAGACTCCTTCAAATTATGACAAGTACAGAAGAAGAGAAATTTGCTTTGAATAACCAAATAAAGGAATTACAGGAGTATGTATTTTTTAAGGATTTATATTTTTTATCATTTGACAGTTTTAAATAATTTTACATATTCATTATTCATAATAATATATTTGCTGTAAAGATAATTTAGTTTTTACTATAACAATGAAATATCCATAAGACAACAACATTAATCTTTCTGTAGATAAAGTTGCATAAGCCATAACAGGGTAAACATGGTGAATTGATGTTGAGCAGCAATTGCTGGTCAACATCCATTCACCATGCTTAGTAATTAGGGCAATGGCACTTGTTGTTTCATACATATATGTGCAGTAATGTAGATGCAGTGTTTTCATGCAGTAGTTGTTTCATGTGAATGGAAACAACTACTTAGTTCTCAGAATTTAAGCAGCTGTTAGCCTCTTGATGAAATGTTCAATTTTTCCATTAAAAACAGTATAAAATATATACAAAAAATTATTTTTTAATATCTTATTTTAATGTCTAGTTTTAATTATTTATAAGTCAAAATAATACTGTTTACTCTTCTAAAAAAGTTAAAAAGTCTGAGATAAAGATTAAAAATTGACAATATGAAATAATGTAGATATTAATATTAATATTTTTAAAAAACAGTTTTATTTATATGTTAAAACATGCATAAATTTTTAATTATTTAGTGCACTAAAGGAAAAAGAAGCACAATTAAATAATTTAAAACGAACGCACCAAGCTGAAAAAGCACATGCTGTTCATTTGATGAAAGAACCACGTAGAGAAGAAGAGCATGCTAAAGACGCTGGCAAATCTCAAGTAAGAATATTAATATATATTAAAAACTATATCATAATATAAAATGAAATGATGAAAACTAACAATACTTTTATCACCAATCATTGTTTTGCTTCAGCAAACTGGGCCTGCCAGCTTCTTTTCTAGTTTCTTCTAAAAATGAGTTTTGCTACCTCTTTTCTTTGGAGTCAGTTTTGGAATGCTATTTGGTTATTGCAATGGACAATTTGTCTTCCGTAATTACCCTTTGGGTAACAAAATACTGATAAAATAATAACACTCTGCCGTAATTTTTTACTCTTCTTTCACATACTCATCATCACATTGGTGCAATTGTCAAATTCAGCATGTTCAATGTTGATTATATCTGTGTTTTTGTGCCTTTTGATATAAATACCTTTTATGAGAGATGACTATATGCATGTTGGCTTATATTAATCTCATTAATTTTATTTATTTTTATATTTTAATTTATAACTATTTGTTCAGTTACTATTATTTTTTATTTTTTTATGTGTCAGTATTATTTTTATTGTTTTTCTTTTGCCCATTATGCACCCACTTCTCCACTTTAGCCTTGTTTCATATACAAGTATGGATGAAAATATACAAGAGAGGATAAAATAATGACTGCCAAGCCTAATATTATTCATGAATGGTGCTATTAATACATGTTGTTTTAGTATTCCTCTCTTTTGAGAAGAGGAATGAAAGTGAAAGGTATAAATGTTTCTGTATTGATTAAATTTTCTTGTTGTTTATACTAACTGTTTTTATTTTTTATTATTATTATTTCAGATGAAGGTGAATGATTTTAAATATTTTAAGATAAATGGAAAAGTACTAAAGAAGGTATTGCATTAGTTAATTATTATTTTGATTAAAATAATTTTAAAGTTGAAGAGTTAATTTATAAGAATATTTAAATATTTTTGTGATGTTGAAATTAACTAAAGATAAAATTAATAATAATTTAAAATTGAATAATATATTTAATATAATTTGCTTACATGAAACTAATTTTAGTTAAAGTGATAATTTTTCAATTAAGTATAGATTAATTTTGAGAAATGCAGAATATTTCATTCAAATTTATACAATTTAGACCTTGAAGCACCAGAAGATTAATGGTTTAGTTATCTAAATTTGTTAACTAAATTAGTTCTTGTTTTGAACTTAATTTTATTTATTGCTTACATCACTAAATGAGATAGTTAAATAAGGGTTAATTTTCATTTTACAGTTATAACAATCTGCTGTGGTTGTAAATTATTATCTTAAGTTGTTTTGAGTCATTTAGTTGAATTTATAATAAAGCTTTTAAGTTTTGATATATACCTCATTAAATGAATGAATAAAAGCTTCAAGTTACTTATTGATGTAAGTTAGTTGTAAAGCTTTTTATATAATCAGCAGAAGTTTAGTCTTATCATAAAACTCAAAATTATAATGCATTAATTAGTCTAAAAAGCAAAAGATGACAAATTATAAAGTATGATATTCTAGTGCAGAAGTCTTCAACCTTCCACAGTCTTTGAAACCCTTCTAGTTTATAATATTCTTCAAGGAATCCTACATTTAGATAACAATTTAAGACAGTGTTTTCAAACTTTGGTTATCTACTCAAGTTCCATCTAAACATTCTTTTACATATCATGAAAAACTGTATGGGTGTAGACTATCCTGGAAAAATCATAGTTGCAGACCAAAACGTTTTTGTTTACTAATTTCTTAGCTGCTATCTTCAGTTCTGACAGTTTATCATAATTAATACAAGACATTTTATTTAGAAGTCAAAACAAAATATTTCTTAACAGATAAAAATAAAGATATTTTGTTTTGACTAAGAACTCTTCTCTTTGCTAATCAGAAACTTCACCAGTATAATAAGCAGGACTGTAGAGTCGGAATCAGGAGGAATTTCTGGCCAGTGGAGTCGGAGTTGGAATTGGAAAAAATGTGTCGACTCTGACTCCAGCACTTCAAATTTAATTTAGTTCTTTATTTAAATGAAAGAAAATTTATTTTATATTTAATAATTTTTTAAAATGTTTTTGTATTTTGTTATAATTCATTTATTTTAAATACAAAATACCACAATTTAATTTATTAAATACGTAGTTTTCTTTGTAGTATTTGTGTTTAGTAGTTAAATTGTTTTGACTTAATTGAATTTGAATATTTTTGAATCATTCTTTATTATCTCTGCTCTAAATGAGTACTCTATTTTTCTGAATGAGCGAGACTAATTGATCAGAGTATATATTTTTCTTTTCTGAACAAGGGGCTATATTGCACACTTTTTAGCTGGACTAACTTTTCTGGAAAGGTGAAACTGAAGTGCAAATGTTGTAGAATAAAGATATGTAGATGTTGAATTTTATCACCTCCCCCTTTCTCCTCTTATTAAATATTTGTTAAAAATTAATTTTTTTATATAAATAAATATTAATGTAAGTTAAATATTAAAAATACTAACTATAAAAGTGTTTGGGTAAATGCCTGGTGCTCCTTTCAGAGTTCAGAGTAGGGTACCCCTCTATGAGTGTCTCTGTCCCCCATAAAATGACTTGGTTTTTAATTTTGCCAGAGTCAGAGTCAGTCTATTAAAATTATCAGGAGTTGGAGTTGAGTGTTTTTTTACCTACTTCGCGGCCCTGATAATAAGTCCTATTAATAAACAAAGTCCAAGTAGACAATGTGTACACAGAAACATCAAATTTTTATTTGTATTTAGTCTTCAATTTATAGTGCATTTAAATTTCAACTTTCAATAAATTATAGACTTCTAAAATTAAATTGGTTCTGGCATTTTCTTGACGAATAACTATTTAATCATTTCTGTATATTTTATGTATTCAAGCAAAATATAAATTTAAGATTAAAATAATTATACTGTATATTATACTGTATACATAAAATTTTTGATTAAAAAGTAATATTTATCAGAGATTTTTAACAATATTTTATTTTTATTCTTTTCAGATTTTGCTGATTATAATTTTTTGAAATTAGTGCACACTATGTTCTAATTATGCATTGAAGAAGTGAATAATTAATGGCAATAACTTTTAGATAAATTAAATAACAAAAGTCTATTATAAACAAAATTTATTTAAATGAGCAATTGACACAGTTTGTGTTTATTTGTTGTTACACTTTAAGATATTTATATTATTTCATAGTTATAAATTATCAAATATAACAGCAAACAACGAAATGCTAAACATTTAATTCATTGAAAACAATCATGTAATGGATATTAAGATATAAGAAGGTTTGACGGAAATTGACAAACCGTATTGTTTATTAAAGTGGAAACCGTGTGAACTTTTTGATAAGCCTTCTTATGAGTTATCACATTGTTTCATACTGTTGTGAACATTTAACATTTTATAACAGTTAATGTTTTAGATATTAATGTATAAAACATTTATTTAATTAAATTTTAAAATTTGTCACTTTAACAAATTCTTATATCAACATCATATGAGAAACTATAATATAAGTTAAAATATTAAAAAAAATATTCATAAAGTCATTTTTCATAATTTATTTGATATATTGATCATGAATATAGTCAGGGATTTATTAAGATTTGAAATAATAATAGAAGCATATTCAATATTGAATATTAAATATTGTATGCTTCTTGAAATATATTGCTGAAGTGTGTGTGTTTTTATTAAAATAGTTGTTTATGACTGTGTGGCCAATGGAGATTACTTTCACTCAACCAAGGAATTAACTGTAACATCATTGGATTTAGTCATGAAATATTATACAATGGAAATTATTATTATTTTCTCATGTCAAAGAATTGATTTTTATGTGAACAAGAATATATTCCAGCCTTCCACAACCTTATTTTGGTGTTCTGGGAAACAAAATTCAGACTTAGAATACTTTTAGTAACATAAGAAAAAAATAATAAAAATAAGATACTGGATAATAAACCAATAATATACAATAATCATCAATGAATTTAAGTGATATTGTTGTACAACATATTATTTTTTAAGGTGTAATATAAGGATTATCATACATAATTATAAACTTATCATACAAATTTAACATAAAATTTATAAATTTTAAACAAACACGAGCTCTTCTTCAAAATGCCTAAAGTTTGATTTATGAGATACATTTGTAATTTATTATTTTTTTTTTCAAAATATGTAAATGATTTAACCAATTGAAAATAACAATTTAGTTTGTAGTTTTTAACAATACTCCTAAGGAAAATGAACCATTTCAGTTATTTCTGTCATTAAAAAATAAGTACAAACTCGAGGAATTTATACATGAGCCTGTTTACAGAATTCTCTTGGATTGATTGAAATATATCCAATAATAAATCCAGTAATAAGGATTATAGATAAATTTCTTTGAAAAACACTCCCCACATTATCACCTTCCATTTTTATAATTCAAGCGTTTTAATCTAAACTATGCAATTATTAATTATATTGTTCTAGGAAAGTATGAATAGGTGACGGAATGAATGTTTGCAATTGTTGGAACTTGTTATTTGGTTTCCAACTATTGAAAGTAATTATTGATATTTGTTTATAGATAGAAAGTATAGATATAAAATTAATAATTATTCCAACAAGTTTTATTGAATCAACATTAATCTTGTTGAAATTTACAAATTCAAATATAATATCATCATCATGTGTTAATATATATGTACCTTGGTTTTAATTAAGGGAATATTTATGCATTTATAAATATCTGTGAAATACATTTACGGATGTGTGCGTACTTGATATGTGTAAAACGACTTTGTTGTTAAATATTGTGAAATTTTGTGATTAATGTAATCGATATGTTGTTATTCAAATGCTTCTATACAATTAATTGTAATTAAAATTGTACAAAAATTCGTTTTTATTTCAGACCACTGTTCTAAATTTTGTACTAATGCGCTGTACAGAATGTGACGTTTTATAATTTAGAGAATACCATTAATTTGTATAGAGAGCACCGTTGTTAATATAACTTACATAGAAGATGGTATAACTATTTGATAATGCTGAACATGCTCAAGTACTAAATTTAGAACAGACTAAGTGTATTTATTTTATTTCTATATTTGTTACTTTGATATTTTGCAATACTATTTGTGTAAGAATTTATATTGTCTGGACAATAGCTAAAATGTTTGGAAACTTTTTGTGCTTCTTGAAAGATGTTTTTAAAAACAATATAATTTTTTGCAAATTTTAGTAAATGATATTGTATATGACAAACATATCAGTGAAAATATAGTTTAAATTAATTGGATATATATAAATATATATACATATATGACAATATTGGAAGATAGTTTGTGTTGTTTTCCGATAAACAATGGTTACTATATCCAGTTGTAATTCAGTATTATCATATATAAAAAAATAAATACACACAAATGCACTTAGATGCAATATACCATCCATCGTATCACAAGTTTTCAAAGAAGAAAACAAGTCAAGAATTATTCTTTTGTTGAAATTAAAATTTTGACGGAAAATTAGAAATAAAATTGGTCTGCAGTTTTAATATCCATATGAATTTTCAAATCGGTGTGTCTTGGATTTATAGATATAATTCTAATTAAAATTTGGAAAATATAAAAATTGTATTATTGGTTTGTCTGTTATTTAGAAAGTTAGAAGACTCCTCAATGGAGTTCTTCATTATTTATTTATTTATTACAAATCTCTTAGTGTATCGTTAATTATAATTTTGCAAAGTATTGATATTACCAGTACTGCATTAATTTTTATGAATTTACTCAGTATAGATTTACAATCATTACAATATGGAAGTAAATGTCTAGATAAAACAGTATTTATTTCAAGACAGTAATGTAAATACAGTATTAAGTTTCTGAAAATTCATAATAATGAAAATAAAATTACAATAAAAAAAATTTCAAGAATTATCCTCTGTGTTGTAATCCAGTATATGTCATTTATGTAACTAATGTCAAAATTATAAAAAGTTATACTCTAGAAATATTTGCTTATTATTTAATATTAATAAAAATGATTTTAATATTAAATAAATATTTCTTTTATATTAATTATTTCATAATTTAACTAAAATATATTTAGAATCGGTCCAGAAATCGCATGAACGATATCATTCGTTTACCGAATACAGTTCCAGTTCAGTAAACTTAGTAAATTGTATCCTGTATCAGGTGATATTTGTATCATTTACTTAATACATTAATTTTGCATTTAAATATTTATTATTTGTATTATAGTGCCATTTAATGACAAAACAAAGATAGTATAAAATGATGTAAAATGTTCCCGTTTACACGTTTTAAAACAATACACAAATTCTTTAAAAACACAACAAAAATGTATTTGAACTTTAATTTCTCCACAATTGAGTGACACACTGGCAATTAATTAATTTAATTTAAACACAACACTGGTTCTTTACCATCCACACAGCTACTCTCTCTGGTCAGCACTGACTCGACACACCAAAGGGAAGCGCACAATTTCTCCCTCTCTAGGCGGGAAAATCTCACCCCACATTCTCAGGGATACTATTACATAAACACACCTGACACTTGTGACAATCCTGTGCACTGTACAGTACATCGAATGCTCGGTAACATAAATGCACCTGACAATTGTAAATCGAACTTAACATCCTCCTGCCTTGAACCTTCCAGGGTTCAATTGGTCCCATACACGTTAAGGAAATCCTTTGAGGAATTCCTGTTAGTGTGTGGGGGAAAACTATACAGTTTCGGCGGCCTGTACAGAGTAGAAACGAAAAACCATTTGATTTCCCTGCGCAGGCCAACCATAACGTGTGTGCCGTCCTGACGTTCAGTTGTGAGGCCTCCGAGTAGTAAGAACAATGTATCGTGAATATTTGAATGAATTATTTTCTATAACCTGAAAATTAATTTTTCAGGTTATAAATTATTTTCAGATCAAAAATTTCTCGAGTAAATTAAAAGTATAAATAATTTTAATATTTAGAAAACTTCTCAATTCATTTCTTCAGTTTTCTTAAAACATCTTGATACTCTATTTCATTTTCTTTTACATTTTAAAAAAATTTATTGTTTTAATATCCAAGTAAATTAAAACTTGACAACTTAAAATAATATTTTAACAATAAGACAATGTAAAATAGGCAAATAGTTTAATATAATAATTATTTAAATTATATTTCCCTATTTGTTACTTATTTATTAAATATCTATACAACGTATTGATTTTGAAAATGTTATTTTTTGTTCAATTAAGAATTGTTCGTAAGATAGAATATCGCAAAGAGAACAATGCTTTTTAACCGCGTCGAACTTTCCGCCATTAAAACACCACGTGATTGTATTTTCTCACGTGACTATCAGACGAACTGTTATTAACTGATAGAAACGCGTCTTGGCGCCGCAAAAGATAGAATTCAACCAACTTTTGCGGCACAAAATCGACTTCTGCGGCGAAAAAATGACGTGATTCTGCCACTTACCGTGCCGCGTGTGTGCATCCTTCTTTAACGTTACGTGGTGAAACGTTTCTTTAGGTTTTTGTCGGTTATGACGTTGGACATTCACGTCCTCCCCAGAATCTGCGTGTTTTAATTAAATTGCTTTAGAGAGAACGTTAGAAGCGTGTGTTTTCATTTCACACGAAAAGGTTTGTGTTTCGTGTAAAATGAAAACACAAATGAAGCCGAAATAGAAAAACTTACGCCGCAGAGCTTAGTTTCGTTTTCCTAGAAAATATATAATATCTTCATAGGATAGGCCACTAACAACTTCCTGTTTTCATACTGTATTTTCTTGCCAGCTAATCAAGCATGCTTACGCCAGAGAATTTTCGCAATATTTTGTTGTGCTAGTCTTCCAGAAGTAATTACACTTATTTCAATTATTTCCTAAACAATCAAGTCGGGTTCAATATATTTTTCTCCAACCACAGGTGTTTCTCCCTCCTCGACTCCAATTTTAGTCTAACTGGGCAGATTATATCGATTGATTATTGTTTGACGAATTATTTGTGGCAGAATTTCCTTTCTGGATATTTTTACCATCTCTGACAGCAACTTCCTCCTTGAGCTAAAGCTCAATTTGCCTCGTCCCTTTTGAATATTGTCAGGTTTAGAGAAATTTTACCACTTTCATTGGCATTTGTTTCAAATTCGATGCAATGAATTAATTCATCAAACTCTCTTTAAGCTGGTCCAATTTCAGCTTCTTATCCGAATCGTCTTCAGATCTAGCTTGAAGAATTGTTATAGTTGAGAAACCACAACGCAGACTTATTTATTGTACAAATTTTGCAAAAAAAAACCAAAAAACTGAACTTATACAATGAAGACTGGATACAAGTCTAAAGAAAATTGTACCTTTTTAATGTTAGGAGGAGGAACCACAAAACTGTTACCTACTTGAAATGTAAAACAATTAGCTGTAATGCATTTTTTTTAAACACTCTTTTAAAATTACAAATGTCTATATCATTGACAGATTAATCTTTATAATGAGTATCTCTTTTTCATATACAGTCGACCCCCCATAAGATCATAGATACGTTCCATTCTTTAGGAATCTGATTTCTTACGAGTCCTTCCAATCACAGCCCGACACGTGTCAAGTTTACGGACTACGGCTGATTGAAAGGTTTTCTTCCATAAAATTAATCGATTCTAGACTAATCCGACTCAACATTTCCAAAATACGTATATTTTTTTTGGAAATAATCCGTATAAACTACGCTATAAACAAAAAATTGTAGGATTACTTACCGAGTGTGCACCATTCGACATCGCCATTGCTAAAGCTTGTTTTCGTCGCGGAACAGCTCAGCAAACAGCGGCCGATTTCTAACAACTTATTTTTCTGCGAAAACTTCGTTGAACTTTGGAGACATCATTAATATAAATAATTTTTATCGCCGTTGAATAAGAAATGTTTCTTTCACAAGAAATGTATAAAATTACAGTACTGTATTAGACTTACGGTACCTAATTTACATACTGTACAGACGATAGTTAGCGTAAAATCTCCGTAGTGTGGCGCCACGCTAGACGGCGGAAATTATATATTTAATTATAACAAAGTTACAATAAGTTAATATATAATTATATATACAGTACCTAATTTATATATAATTAATATATAATTATATGTACAGTACCTAATTTATATATAATTTATATAATACTGTCCAGACGATAGAAATCTCTCCGTAGCGTGGCGCTACGGACGGCGGGAAAGTAGTTCAAGTGCCCGATGACGTTTTACATAATTATAGGAGTTTTTTTTACCTTTTTTTACGGATACCGTCACAATTTTTTCGCAGTTTTATAGGAATCGTAATTATAGGGGGGTCGACTGTAATTTAATTCAAACAACAACAAACGAATCTTACTCGAAATAGTGTTCTTTATCGATTACCTGAGATCAGTGTACAACCGACATTCGGTCCATAGACTTTACATGGCAAACTTTGACCTCGAACATCTCGGCTCGCAGATCGAATTTCAAAATTTCGGCATCGTCACGACATTGCCGAATGACGTAATCTCGAGTTTTACGAGTTGTACTTGCAAAAAATCATGTTACCGATCGTTTTTATTTAAATTTTGATCACAGACAAAACACTCTGACTTTGCACAGCTCCGTTCAATTACAGTAGAACCCCTCTAGTCCGCCCTCGGCTAGTCCGTCGCTCCGGTTAATCCGACCGTGGTCGGAGTCGGGAAACTTGTCCCGACTCGTCAGTAACTCACCGCCCGTCGCGTATTTCTGTGTTCGTTACAGTATATGTTTTACATTGTGTGTACGTATACAGTTTTGTGTATTTTTCAACATGTCAGGAGTAAAACGTAAACACGCTACTCTTTCATTAAATGAAAAATTAGCAGTACTACAAAGACTAGACAAAGGGGAAGATTGTTTATTTTACTTTTTTCTGATAATCCGACCTTTTTTGCGTTCCGACCATACCCCCAGTCCCAAAGATGACGGATTAGAGGGGTTCTACTGTATACAAAATATTTGGCCTGACAAAAAGTGGCTATCATAAACGCGAGTGCTCTACTAAATGATAACTGTCATGAATGTTCCGCGTATAGTTTTTAACTTGCAATTGACAGATACCTCGGCAAGACCACGTTGAGAAAGAAAAGAAAAACTAACAAAACATTTATAGCTGAAAGCGAAGAGATACAATCAGCCGCAAGTGGCACAGGCATCAAATAAAGTTTTGCGAGATTAAAGCTAGTGATTGCAAAATTACCGGGTATTATATTACCGGTAATTCGGTAATTATATTCGGGTTTATCGGTAATTTACCAGTAAATTCGTATTAACAAATGATTTAAAATGAAACTGAATTACTGACAGAATTATTGGACAATCATTTATTTTCAAGTTTTCTCTCAGTTTAGACAAACAATTCTTGTAATAGCAATTATTATGACATAAGAAACATTGAAATAATGCTGCTAATTAATTTTTTTCTTTAATTTGAAAGTAGGCGTTTAATAAACACAATACATGTAGGCTTTCGTCGTTTAATCTATGTAGATCTAATTTTCGTACAAATGGCAGCTGCAAAAAGCTCTCTCGGAATCAATAATAGTTGGACGTACTGTCATTAGAGCATTGAAAACCTTAAAAAGGTTTTCAATGCTCTAATGACAGTATTTTCAATTCCTTGTATTTTTTTGCTCTAAGAAATAATTCATTTCTTTTTAAACTATATCTTTCACACTTTTAAACTTATTTATATTACTGTTATCAGTGTCTACGCTCGTTATATGTTTAAATACGTAATCATCTAAAAATATATTATCACAAATCAAACGAAATACAGACGTTTTAAAGTTTCCTATTGTATTTCAAACCTTCCAAAAACATTAAGAACACGTGATCTAAATAAAAATTAAAAGAATATTTAATTCGAAATTAAGAATAATTTTACTTGTTAAAGAATAGGTAATGAGAAAACATGCATTATTCATCA